CAGATGGAGGCGGCAGGACTTGCTATCGGCGCCGTAGGCCTTATAAGCCTCTTCAACTCATGTCTCGATGCCCTCGATAGAATCGACTCTTTCCGGGAGTTCGGAAGGGAGACACAATACCTCCAGAATCAACTTGACAGCGCGAGGCTTCGCTTGCGTCAATGGGGTGACGCAGTTGGGTTGGAACGAGGAAAATTGTCCAAATGTCACCATGACCTTCTTGACGACTCGGAAACATTTGCACTGATCCAGGAAACTCTGATCATCATTGAGCAAGAGTGCTTCGAGACTGAGGAACCCCAAGGTAAAGATCATGATTTGAAATTTTGCAAGCACGAGGATGACTATAAAGGCCGATACCGTCAAGCCCATAATCCATCATTTAGGCGAAAACTGGGCTGGTCACTCCGGCGCAAGGAGAAGCGAACTGGCCAGATTCAGCGCGTCAGGTCCCTTGTGCAGAACTTGTACGATTTGATACCCCCCGAACATTCGAGCCCTGCGCGCTCGCGTGTCGAGCAGTGTGATCAAGGTGAGCATCACGCTCGAAAGTCTGTGCTCCCTTTGACGAGATTCACACATCCAGACAACACTACTAGCAGGGCGATTTCCCTTGCCCAAGTGCGAGAGAATATTATCAAGATCGAAGCAGACTTGAAAGGCATGTACAGTCACGCTATAAAGGGCTGCCTAGAAAAGCATAGGGGTGTATGCTGGAACATGCTAACAGCTGTGCGTACGAAGTTGAGAATGCGAGAGAGGCCAACAAGTGGTTGCTGGGAAAATACATTCCCAATGAACTCTACGAGAGCTGTAGCAGAGTGAGGCTGAACGGCACATGCGATTGGATACTGGAGCAACCTGCGTTTGTTAATTGGACTTCTCCCCATTTCCAATGGGCTGCCTGCAAGTGGCTGTGGATCAACGGGCCTCCGGGATTTGGGAAGACTATTCTTTGCAGCAGGGTAACAGAGCATCTCTCGTCTCGCCTCGACACGCCTGTCGCCCACTTCTTCTTTTCGTCCGACTTTGAGAGCTGCGAGGACCCCTTCGTCGCGATACGATCATGGATATCCCAGGCCATTTTCCACCCAGCCGCGGCGGCGCTGGCTCAACGCAGCCAGGCTTCCCAGTTTCACCAGCCCGTGGCAACCCAAAGGGCGATTGTCGAACTTCTGAGACAGATCGTCCAGGCCATTCCGCACTACACATTCGTGTTGGACGGGTTGGATGAGTGCACTTTTTGGAGCCGTGATCAAGGTCTTTTACCTAGGAACTCTGCAGCAGACTTGCTCACTGCCATTGATGAAGCATTAAGGGGAACAGAAACTCGCGTTATAGTGTGCAGTCGGGACGTGCCGGAGCTTCGACGATGTTTGGCCGGCTTAAACGCCTCCGAGTACAGACTAACGCCCGACGACGTTCGCTCAGATACCGCGGCCTACGCTCGGAGCCTCGTCGACGAGAGGCTGCCCAACAAAGAGCCAGAGCTCAGGAGAGCAATTTCGGATAGGATGTCTAAACGCTGCGAAGGGCAATTCCTCTGGCTCAAGCTACAGGGAAAAGACTTGCGAGGGGGCAAGAGTAAGCGCAAGCTCATCGAAGCTATTGACCAAGCCCCAACGGGACTTGAGCGACTATACGATAAACAATGGAGCAAGGTGGAAGCATACCAGGCCGAGGACCGCGACAGAGTCATTTCTCTGTTACGTTGGGCCGCATTTGCTCTACGCCCTCTGACAGTGTGCGAAATTACCGAAGCCGTGCTCATCCGACTTGACCGGCAAGATCCATGGATAGATAACCTGCCGGACAGTATTGATGAGGAGTACATACGGACTGAGATTGTCGAACTCTGCGCGTCGCTGCTCGAGATTCGAGACACGCCTTTTCGGACAGATCACATCGGGCGACGAACTGTGCATCTGACCCATTTCTCGGTCAAGGAATACCTCGTCAATCGCATGCAGGCGCGCGGAATCGCCCTGGAAGGAAACCAGCGCTTGAATTCGACCTTTGAGGCGAAGCAAGTGGCAGAGCTCGCCAAAATGTGCCTCTACTATCTCCAGAACCCAGCGGTGTGGGGGGAAGACGACGCCGAGCGAGAAGGAAGCCCAAGCATTGGAGCGTTCCGCAGCTACGCGGCCGGCTCCTGGTACCAGCATGCCTTAGCATGCGGAACAGGAGACTCCGAGCTGACAGAGGCTATCATCAGACTGTTTGATGCAAATAGCACGGTGTGGGATTCATGGCGGAGATGGTACGACTTCTATCACGGGGAGAGCCAGGAGAACGAAGAAAGCGACGAAGACGCTGCTGTCGATTTCAGCCCTGTGTATTATGCCTCGCACCTGGGCTTGGAAGGAATAGTCGAGTTGCTAGTACGAAACCAAAACCGCAGTCCAGACGGACAGTGTCCCTCAGGACAGACGGCGCTGGCGGCGGCTGCGTATAACAGGCATCTCGGGGTGGTTCGATTCCTTCTCGACAATGGTGCCGAAATTAACGCCCTGGACGCACAAGGCAGGTCAGCCCTGTTTGCGGCCTGTCGAGGCGGAAGCGCGCAGATCTTGAGACTGCTCCTGGAAAGGGGGGCAGATGTGACGGTGGCAGCCAATGACGGGTGGTCGCCGCTCATGACTGCTTGTAATCATGGAAAGGCCAACCTGGTCGAGATGCTCCTCGAGAAGGGAGCCGACGCATCGGCCACCGATGATTGCGGGTGCACGCCAATCACGATTGCCCTTGAGAAGCAAAAAGTCGACATTCATATTGTCGAGATGATCTTAGATCAGGGAGTCGATGTGACAGCGGCAGGTGATGACGGCTGGACGCCATTGTCATTCGCCTTACAAAGAGGAAACGCTGAAGTTGTTAAAATGATGCTTGATCGAGGGGCTGACTTGAGGAGCGTGGAGCTCGGGGTGTCAACGCCTCTCTTCATGCCCTCGGTATGGGGGAACAGTGAGCTTGCTGGATTACTTGTCGAAAGAGGGGGGGATGTTATGGCCAGGGACAGCGCGGGACGCACGCCGTTACATCTTGTTTCGTGCCTGGGCGCCATGGAAGTTACCGAGATGCTGCTCAACAACGGGGCGGATGTTGTGGCCAGTGACGACAATGGATGGACACCACTACACTACGCGTCTTACCATGGCAACTTAGGATCCGCTAACACGTTGGTTCAACTTGGGGCGGACCTGATGGCACGGAGCAAACGCGGAGTGACGCCGCTTCATTTCGCCTCTTCTTCTGGAAACCTGGATCTTGCCCAGATGCTTGTTGAAAAGGGAGCGAGCATCGCAGCCGGCGACCGTTCTGGATCCACGCCACTACATGAAGCATCCAGACACGGGCGAACAAAGCTCGTCGAGTGGCTCCTGGAGAGCCCGCAAGCCCAGATCAACGGCCGCGACAACCACGGCCGTACAGCTCTGTTCCATGCCGCTCGATCAGGATGGGTTGGAATGGTGCGATTGTTGGCTGAAAGAGATGCCACAGGGCTGAACATTGCGGACCAGCACGGGACGACCCCGCTTTCTGCTGCAGCGAGGAACGGACGGGTCGAAGTCGTGAGGCTCTTGCTCGTTTCGTGGAAGCTTGACACGCACCTCTTGGACGGCTTTGGCTACTCCCTGGCCTGGTGGGCGTCCAGAAGCGGCAACGAGCGCATAGTTCGGCTCGTCAATCAGGAGGCATTGGACGACCACGATGATCCCGCACTGGGTGGAAACCAAAGCCCGAATGTTGGCATCATGGACTGGTGCAGGATCTGCACGATGGACATGCCGGAACCCAGGGCGCTGTGCTACGAGTGCGCAGTATGCGACGGGGGTGGCTTTCGGGTTTGCTTGGGTTGCTTTGAGAGCGGTAGGACATGCCAAGATTCATCGCACCAGCTGATGAAGGCGTTGTCTTATTAGATCTACATGTAAGCATGGTCCTTGGGATTTAGTAGCAACAGCTGTGTAAGGTGTTAAAGAGAGACCTTAGGAAAGCTCTTTCGGAGCTACATACGAAGTAAATATACAGGTAGTTACATGACATCATTTTCTACCTCTGTTACTCCCGGAGTTTTTATTATTACGCTGCCTAGAGTCGCTGCTGGGACAGTCGAAGCCCCGAAGCAGAGTCCACATCGACGCCCGGGCGTGCTTGACCTGACCACCGGTTGCAAAATATAGCAACGACTGGTTCTCCAGCAATAGGGGTCCAACGACCCTTACTAATGCGTGCTAGTAGACATTTACTGGAGAAACGCCCTATAGTGCTGTTGAGTCTGGATATGTTAGTAGAGAAGAATGCAAGTGTATTGCCGGCAAGCCATCCTTCTGCTAGAACAACTCAACAAAGCACAGGAAAGAAGTATAGTGCTAAGCAAAGCCGCACCTGCTTATGATCCTAGGTGGGTTTGTGGCGTACAGGCTTTTCTCTTGCTTGTCCTCCTGCCAGTCCGGAATGGCATGGTTCGGGAATCAAAGTGCAGTCTCCTGAGCGAGCCGTGTATTGGCTCGAAAGGCTTTGGCGCCTTGGCAGCGCCCGAGCAAGCGCTGTGTTTGGCCAAAGGAGATGGATGCAATTAGCGCTGGGGCGGGTGTGGAGTTTCATAGACGTTGACGAGCACCGAGTATACCTTCTTGACTGCCCTATTGGTGGTACTGAGTCTTCTACCATGCACAGCTAGCTTCGATTGGCGGGTATTAGGCTAGGCTAGGCTCCTGTATCGGAGAGCGGTGACGCCTAAAACCCGTTGCACGGTTGCTTGCACCCAACCCCGCCATGCCCTATTAAGCCGCTGCCGTAATTATTAATTACAGTAGTCTGTAGGGGTGGACCCCCCCCCCCGTTCCGGCACATCGTCAACCCCGCCTGTCACCCTCTGGCGCCCACCACCCTCCAAAGTTGCATCGGAGAGTGCCTTGACGGATTGACGAAGCTCCCTCCACCTCTCCCTCCACAACCGCCTGTCCGCCCTCGCGACAGCTCGTCCATCTCCGGCCATGACCTCCTCGGACGCAAAAGTCCTCTCCCACGGCCCGCTGGTACGCCCGCGCCCCCCCGCCCACCTTTGCCTTTCCCCTCCGCTCACCGGTTGTCCAACGCGCAGTCCGACGACGAGGCCCGATGGATCAAACTGACCAAGTGAGCATCGCCTTGCTCTCTTTCCAAAGCCGCCTTGCCATGTCTCCGCGTCATGGAGCCCGGGCGCGGCCACACCGACGCGACACCACGCATGGCCGACGTCTGCTGATACACGGCCAAGAATCACGTATCGAGACCCCGCCGGCACGACGCGGACCTGGGAGTCTGCCGAGCGCCGGACCCGGCCCGCCACCACCGACATTGACGGCGTCGGCATCGTTGCCATCCTCGACAAGCCCTCGGGCAAGGAGATTGTCCTGCAGAAGCAGTACCGCCCGCCCATCGACATGGTCACCATCGAGGTGCCCGCCGGCCTCATGGACCCCGGCGAGTCCCCCGAGCAGGCCGCCGTCCGCGAGCTGCGCGAGGAGACGGGCTACGTCGGCGTCCCCAGCCAGACGTCGCCCGTCATGTTCAACGACCCGGGCTTCTGCAACACAAACCTGCGCATGGTCCACGTCACCATCGACATGTCCCTGCCTGAGAACCAGGAGCTCAAGCCCCAACTCGAGGACGGCGAGTTCATCGACGTCTTTACCGTGCCCCTGGCCGACCTGTGGGACGAGTGCAAGAACTTTGAGGCACAGGGCTACGCCATCGACGCGAGGATCGGCACCCTGGCCGAGGGCATCCTCATAGCCAGTCAGCTCAGCTGAGGGGCAGCAGCTCAGACGGCGGAGGGTACAAGGCGGCGAAACGTCGAGGGCAGCAAGGCCCGCACATAGACCATAGACATCAATCGCGACACTACAGCTTCTTCTCTCTCCTCAGTCCCTCCCAGAGCGCGAGTGCACCCAGCGCCTTGGCGTCCCGCGCACCCTCTCTCCAGAGATGCCTCATGGGCACGACCTTGAGGGTAATCTTCTCGCCCTCGGACCGCAGCCCCGTCAGCCGCCCGCTCCACTCGCGCAGCTGGTCCCTGGGGATGCGCCGCTCGTGGCTGTAGAGGGTGACGTGCTCGTCGCAGCCGCCCGCGCTGGGAAACATGGCCGCAGCAAGGCCCTCGTCGACGTCTTGAGGGGCGGGGCCGGCCATGTCGCTCAGACACGTCAAGTCGTCCTCGTGGATGGTGATGCCCAGCTCCTCCTCCATCTCCTTGGCGGCGGCGCCCTTGAAGCTGCCCGCGTCGTCCACCATGCCGGCCGGCAGCTCGGCGAAGCTCAGGCTGGCGGCGGGTATGCGCGGCTGGACCGTCAGGACGGCGTAGCGCTCGTCGGAGCCGGGTGGCGCGTCGTCGGGGATGAGCATGACGAGCATGGCCACCGTCGGACCGCGCAGGAGGGCCGCGGCGGGCAGGCTCTCGCCGGCAGCGTTGGACACGGAGGCGGTCAGCTTGACGAAGCCGATGCGGCCGCCGCCGAAGCGGTCGTAGGACTGGATGTCGATGGAGCGTAAGGCGTAGGGGTCGGCGTGGAAGGGGTGCGAGGCGTTGGCCTGGAGGCCGAGGGATTTATGCAGGGTCGAAGACCAGTCCTGCCAAAGGCATCTTAGCTGTGTCTCGTCTCCTAAGAATGCTGGCAGAGGGGAACATGGTATCCACGCACATTAAACGGCCTAAACGACTGTAGCTGGTCCCGGGACATTCCATCGGGCAGGCTGATGGGGATCTGGTCCAGCCACGCGGCCTTGCTGGTGGCTGCCATGACGCTGCGCTGCGATGACTGCGCGAGGGACACGGGAGGACGGCTATGGCGGAGGGTGACGAGCAGGCGATGCGGGAGACTGCTCATGACATGGAGCGGTGGTGTTTTCAGAGCTGCAGCCGGTGGTCCAGCCAGAGAGGGGGCAAAGGCAAGCCAGTAACAAGTCAACGTTGGCAAATGCATGGTTTACTGCTGCATGACGTCATGCGCTTTCATGGCGACTCTGAATACGGAAATAATAAACTCTCGACAGAATCTATGCCACTAACGTAAGCCACCACGTTTCTGCGCAGCTCCAAAGATAGAAAATATACAATAAAGTCTACCAAAATCTCTTACTATAAGCATTTTGATACTGGCAGTAGTGGTAACAATATAGAGAACTTATAATGCTTTAGCTTTACAAGTTAGTATTTATAACAGGTAGAAACGTATTGATATACATCTTCGTACAATCTAGGCTAGTAGTACTAAGCCTAGATCTACTTGCAAGTCTTGGTCCTGCCTCAGTAGCCAGCAGAGTCCAGACCTTGTTGTAAAACAGCTTCAAGATATTTTCGGGCTTACAGGCATAAAGATCCTCTCATAGTAATATTATAGAAGCTCCTCGTTATTAGTATTTTCTAGCAGGTGCTTCCCAGCAGTAGCAATATTAGGGACACTTACAAGCTGTATCTACTAGGCAACAAAGGCGTGCCCTTGCGATACTGCCAGTAACGCCTCTTATTATAGCGACTCTTATAATACTAATGCTATTATGGTAGTGTGCTCCTCCTGAGACGTCGTCCTCGACGTCGTCAAGACTCAAGCAAGTTCACGTCTGATATCGTCAAGTTTAACTCTCCCATTAGCAATAGGGACAACCAGTCGCAAACCAGTCTGATCGCAGAAGCCGACAGCCTGTCCAGAACGCACGTGGTTTCTTTCTGCAGATTCACAAGGAAACAGCCTGTCAATCTGTCCAAGGGCAATAGGGACAGCCCGTCGCAAACCGGTCTAGTCGCCAGAACCAGCAGCCCGTCTCGAGCTCATACGATCCCCTTCTGTGGATTGTATTCCTGCAGGCGCCGTGTCATAGTTACTGGTGATACCCTGCATAGATTGGGCAGCGCTGCTAATCATAGGCACCCCCATTCTAGTTACTAATGACAAACCAGAGCCGCTGTTTTAACCCACACCTACTCTGTAGATATACCGTTCCTCCTTAGGCTAGAGGTACAGACGTATAGTCTGACGCCAATAAAGCTCACCCTGGAGATCGCATTCGTCTTCATGGCCGGTGGCTCACCCTGGCCAGCTTCGGCGCCTTGGTCATGGGTGTGGCGGGAACGGCGGGCGGCGGACGTCTCGGATAGCGACCCCTTTGCGCGGGGCTCATGGCAGGATTCGGACTGTTGGCTGGCGCCGGGTTGGGCTCCGTCTTCCCGCCCGCGGCCTTTCCCTCGGTCACCTGGAACGTCTGCAGGGACTCGACGGTGCGCATTATGACGCCGGCCGTGAGCGTTTTTGTGGTTGGAGAGATGGGCTCGGCTGGGCTGCCATTGGTGACTTCTTCGACCTCGACTGCGGTTGTGACGGCCTAGCACCGTCACACCCCCTTTGCATACATGACCCACATGTTGCTGAGCCAACGGCCCACACGTACGGAAGGCATATTTAGGGAGAGGACACCCAGTTGTATTGTTCTGTTCTCCTTTCTCTTCTTCAGAGCAGAATCTTCGTAATAGAGTCCACAGCCTTCTGGCTCAGTCCGTGACCGTCACACTATTCTGCTCTCTACCACGCCATCGCTGCCGAGCGATTCATAAGAACGCCACGACTTTACCCCATGCCAAGACTGCGCTCGGCCGGCCCACTTGAACAGGACACGGCCCTCCATAGATCGCAGCTCCCACGACCCGTCTTACCAAGCATCGAAGATCAAGACCAAGACCAAGACCAAGACCAAGACCAAGACCAAGACCAAGACCAAGACCAAGACCAAGATCAAGATCAATACCAAGACCAAGACCAAGACCAAGACCAAGACCAAGATCAAGACCGAGATCAAGACCAAAGAAACAGTTCAGGGACCATCGAATCGCACATAACCATCCAGGAAGGACAGGGACCTAAAATGGCTGACAGAACCAATCAGGAGGGCAGCAGCGGCTTGTTCACCGAATTGTCTCCCGAGCAGAGACAGCAATTAACCGACCACATCAGCCGAGAAGTGGCCCGTTTGGTCGCCCAAGTACGAGTGACCGAGCCAAGAGACAGCCAATATGGTGAAGATGAAGTCAGCACACCAGGCCAACGGGAAGGAACAGCCTTTGACGACCGCGAAGAATTCCGGCCGTCAGGATATGCGGCCCTTTTAGCCTTCCGGAGATATGAGTCGATGGATGGCACCAACCCAAACTATAGAGAGGACGGAAACGTCGGGAGAGAAACCCACCATGTTCTCCGGCGAAGGACTCCTCGTTTGAAAGCTGGATTAAGCAAGTAGAGGGCAAGTTCGAGGAGGACAACGATACTTTCGCCTCTGAGAAGACGCGGATCAACTTCGTGATTACGCGTCTCGAGGGCACCGCGTATAAGACCGTAGAAGGACGCCACCACTCGCTGACTCGGCCTTTCACAACATTGGCCGAACTAATCCAGGTCCTCCAGACAGCGCACACAAACCCAAACAAAGGCGCCGACGCCCGCGCCCAGCTGCGTGTCTGCAAATACGATTGGAAGAAGGACTTCAATATTTTCTTGGGAATTCAACTCCATGTACGAGGCGGCGGGGTACCAACCTTCAATGCAGAAACAGACCCTGTGGGACTCTCTTCCTGCTCCGGTCAACCAAGCGGTGGTCGAGAGGGTCTACGATACGAAAGTGCGCTACGAGGACTTCTGTGAGTCAGCACAGCACCAGGTGTTCGTGGCCCGCCACAACTTTTCCGAAGCGCAAAAGAAGCGCAACCACTCTAGTAGTAGTGGTGCCCGAGGGGTTCGGAACAATGGCGGCAACCGTAACAATGCCCGTGGTCGCCACCGGGAACAAACTGGCAACGAAGGGGCTAGCCGGGAAGCTGGAGGAACCGTATCTCCGAGGAAGAGAGGAACGTCGCCGCATCAATAACCTGTGCTACCGGTGCGGAGAATCTGGGCATATCGCCCCATTCTGTCGCACCCGCAACAACAACACCCGGAAAGGCAACCACGAAGACCGTGGAGAGCAGGCGGCCCCAGTCAGCGCAGCGACAACCAACACCGCCACGGGCAAGGGCAAGGTTTGCGACCCAGACTCGAGCAGTTCGGAGTCGGAAACGAGTAGGCCAGGACAAAGTCTCGTTCCTGGCCGACTTGGTGTCTGTGATTGGAGCGGCGGATTTGGACAGACTCATAGGGGGCAAACAGCTGACAATCTCATCTCGCCTTAAATTGAACAACATGTCTATTCTCATTCGTGCCCTTGCAGACACCGGAGCGAGTATGTATCTCGCCATTAACCATAGGTTAGCGAGAAGAGCGGCCTCACAACTTGGGGCCCAGAGGAAGAGGCTTGATCAGCCAATTCACCTAAAGGATTACGCGGGAGTCAAGCACAAACACCCGATCAAGGAGGTTTTTATGGACTTCGAGATTGATGGACGACTCTAAAGAACTTACCATTCTTGGTCGTCCGGATGGACTACGACATCATCATTGGCAGGAAATGGTTTGAACAACACAGGGTCGCCGTTGCGCCTGGACTCAGGAAACTTCTCTGGTCATCAGGACGGGAAGGCGCGACGAGATTATCGGGCCGAAGACGAGACAGTCTGGGGAAGCCGTCCTGGCGAAACCCGACGATTCCAACCACGCGAGTCGACGCCGATAATCCGCAGCAAATCCGCGCTGTTTCCGGTACGGAGCCTATCCAAGGAAGGGGAAAACGGACGACCAAGAGGACGTCATCCGTGACTGTGGTCGCCTTGCTACCGACCAGCGTCTGGCCGGCCAGAGAGCAATGCCGGCGGGCCGCCAACGTGTTCGGCACAAGCGCAAGCCCCAAGAATTCATGAACTAGCGTCTCCGGGAGCAAAGGGGACCCAAGTCGACCAGAGTCAATTGCCACAGGATGGACCACCCCACGACCACGACTCTGCAGGCCGACGGGGTGGTTGCCAGCTTTCTAAACCCGCAACAGGACCGGGAACTTCAGGGCTGCTGACAGCCCGCCTTAAGAAATTCAGAGTGCATCGCGCCTCGGAGAATTGGCTCGAAGAAGTGTTACGGTGGCTCACGTGAACCCGCAAACGCCAGAGATGCCTAAGGTACCACCGAAGGACACCCGCCCAGTTATCCCACTTCCACGGGGTGAGGATGACGAGACGGTCCGCCTGATCAAAGAGAAACTCCCGACCCCGCTGGGCCATCTGGCTGGATTTTTCTCGAAGAAGGAGTCTAACCAGTTGCCTCCTCTCCGCGGCCCAGGGAGGGACATGAAGATCTACCTGACCAAGCCATTGCCAGAGCGTTCGAGAGGTGTCTACCGCAACCCACATCATCTAGACGAACTACTCCGAAAGACGATTCAAGATTACCTGGACAAGGGTTTCATCGAGAGCTGCTGGCCTGGATTTGCCTCACCAGCCTTCTTTGTGCCCAAGGGTGACATGGGCATGGATTGGAGATTCGTGATCGACTACCGGGACCTCAACGACGCCAGTGCAAAGATGAAGTACCCCATGCCTCTGTTAGAAGATACCCTGGTAAAACTAGCAAGCGCCAAGTTTTTTACAAAAATCGACATCCGTCAAGCCTTCCATAGGTTGCGAATGGCCCTCGAAAGTATGGATCTGACGGCATTTCGGTGCCGGCTGGGAACTTTCCGTTGGAAGGTGATGCCCTTTGGGCTGACGAACGGCCCAGCAATCTTTCAATGCTTTATCAACGACTGCCTGAGGATATCCTGGACATCTACTGCAGTTCGTACGCCGACGACATCCTGATCTATTCAGAGTCGGCCGAGGAAAACGTGCGCCAGACCGAGGAAGTCATTCGACGACTGGCAGCGGCAGGCCTACAGGGCGACATCAAGAAGAGCTCCTTTTGCGTCACCGAGGTGGATTACCTCGGGCTGGTGATTAAGGCGGGAAGGTATCGCCCTTGACCTAAGAAGAAACAGGCCATCCTTGAGTGGAGGCTGTCGGACCTAAAATCTACGAAAGCCATCCGATCTTTCCTCGGATTGGTTAACTTTGTCCGACGCTTCTCGAAAGAAGTAAGCGAGCTGGCGCACCCGCTCAACGAGCTCCTAAAAAGGGCAATCTTCAAGATCGGCAAGCAAGAGGAAGCGGCTTTGAAGCACTCAAGGAAGCCCTGGTCCGAGCTCCCGGAATGGGCTTCTGGAAGATAGGCGCCCTGACTCGGATAGAGACTGATGCGTCAAAGCATTCGGTAGGCGCCACCGCTTTACAACAACAGAACGACAACTCATGGAAGCCGGTGGCCTACTTCTCCAAGACCTTGTCGTCAACAGAGACGGTATGGCCTATCCAAGACCGAGAATTCCTCGCCATCATCCGCGCCCTAGAAGAGTGGAGGCCAGAGCTGGTTGGGGCCCTTTTGAAGTAGTAACGGACCATGAAGCTCTCAAGTACTTTGCGACAAAGCGGGTTTTATCATCTCGACAAGCCCGTTGGGCACAGATTCTGTCGGAATTTGACTACAAGATGACATACCGACCCGGGAAGGAGAACATAATTGCAGATGCCCTGTCCCGGAAAAGCGAGAACTTCGAGACCGTCAGAGCCAGAGACCTGGATTCCCGCACCATGGAACTGGTCCCGAACGATCGGGTACCCGCAGAAGTTCTCGAGGAGACACATGTCGAAGCTGCTCCCCTAGACATCGCGGCAAATTCTGAGGACCGCGGCCCAGCAGTACCTGGGGAGGCACCAGCCGGAGTGTTCCTTGTGGAGCTGATTGTCCGGGAAAATGAGAAACAGATTCCCAAGGAGGACCGGCGGAAGGGAGATCGTATCTGGGTGCCGGAGTACTCGTCAGAAGGGCTCGCACTGCGAACTGCCTTAATCCGGGAAGTCCACGAACCCAAATCAAGGGGTCATCCGGGAAGAACAAGATGAAGGCGATGCTGCGGCCGTTCTATTACTGGCCACGTATGGATGAGGATCTCGCGCGCTACGCACGCAATTGCCAGGCATGCCGTAGGAACAAGGTGTGGAAAGATAAGTCACCTGGATTGCTCCATTCGTTGCCCGTCCCAGAGGAACCTTGGCATACCGTGCTGGTGGACGGAAAGGACATGCCGAATGATCGAAATGGATTCGACTACGTTTGGACGTTCATCTGCAAGCTGAGCAAGCTGATTCTCACGATTCCGGGGAAAAAGACAGACACCGCCGAAAGACTGGCCAAGCGATATTACCGCCGCGTGTTTGGTCACCTCGGTCTACCGAAGATTTGGCTCTCGGACAACGGACCACAGTTCATTTCGAAATTCATGGCCAAGGTCAACGAGATGACGGGAACAGAGCACAAATTCGGCAGTGCCTACCATGCGCAGACTCAAGGAGGCGTGGAGATTACCAACCAGTATCTTGACCAACGCTTGACGTTTTACGTGTCGTATTTTCAAGACGATTGGAGTGAGCATCTGGCGGCGTTAGACTTCGCGCATAACTCCACGCCGCACGACTCAACAGGCATGACTCGATCGAGGCCTCCCAAGGGCGAGCACCCCACGCGGCTTTCGTTCATATAGCGACCGACAAGCAGGTCGGGGATTGGACCGACGCCCAAAAGGCAGCCAAGGACTTTGTGAATCGAGCCAAGAAAGTTTGTTCGCTGGCAAAAAGGAACGTGGAAGCGGCTCAAAGGCGCCAGGAACGATCAGCCAATTTGAAGAGAAGAGTGCCCGATTTTGATGTCGGTGACTGGGTGTTTGTTTCGAAAAGGGGCTGGTCAACTGACAGGCCAACAACGCGGCTAGATTCTAAGAACGCGGGTCCGTTCAGAATCGTGGCAAAAAGGGGTCACTCATTCGAGCTGGACCTACCCAAAGGCATGAGGGTGGCAAAGGTGCTGCATGCCGACCGGTTGAGAAGGGCTGCGCGAGACCCGCTGCCGGGACAGCAGGTGGAAGCTCCGCCGGCCGAGATGATTAACGGCGAGCCAGAGTACGAGGTGGCGAAAATATTGTCGTCAAGGATCTCAAAAATTACAGTACCGAGCCGAGTGGGCAGGACAGGACCCTGACGAGCTATACTACGACGCTGAAGGGTTCAAGAATGGTGCCGCAGCTCTCAGGCGGTTCCACGACGAATATCCCGAGGCACCTGGACCGCCTGTACGATTGGCAGAATGGCTGCTAGCCGCTGCGGAAGACAGGTGGGCAGAGAGTCACAACGATGACAACAAGGCTGTCGGCCGTGGGCATGAGCGACGGCGACTGCGACGACACTCGTGAGGCCATCTCCACCGTTGGTGTTCGACGGCTTTAGGGGTAGTGTGACGGCCTAGCACCGTCACACCCCTTTGCATACATGACCCACATGTTGCTGAGCCAACGGCCCACACGTACGGAAGGCATATTTAGGGAGAGGACACCCAGTTGTATTGTTCTGTTCTCCTTTCTCTTCTTCAGAGCAGAATCTTCGTAATAGAGTCCACAGCCTTCTGGCTCAGTCCGTGACCGTCACAGCGGTGAGCTTGATGGCGATGCTCATAGCATTTTTGATCTGCTAGGTCAGCAAAAAGTAACTCTGTACCGTTCTGGGGGAGAGGGACCGTGGTAGGCTACAGCCCCCAGACAGGAATCAAGATTGAAGCTGACCTGGCGTCCATTTAGCGGCATATTTGCAAGCCGCTCGATGCTTTCGGAATCGATCTTGACCGTCATGTTTTTTCTTTCTCGGGCGTCTTGTATGAAATTTAGCCAGATGGCCCTACGAGCTTCGGCATCGAGGTTTAGATATTTGTGGCAGAAGTGGGTTCGGCCTGCAGAGACAGAAGAATATCAGCGCCACGGATAACTCGGTAAAGGGAACAAAACGGGCACCGGGGCAAAAGCTCACTCAGAAAGGCTTCGTCAATCCTATCGATCTGGTTCGTCGTCAACAGCAGGATGCCTTCGTAGTACTCGAGCTCCCGCAAAAAGACGGAGACGATGGCATTCTGCTTCAGATTCGTCATGGTTCGCTTGGCCAAGAAGACGTCGGCCTCGTCCAGTAGGAGAACGGCCCCCCAGTGCGTCGCTAGCCGCAGGATTTGCATGAGCTCCGAGTGAATATTGTCGGGTTCGTGGCCGAGGGCACCGGTAGATACAGCGTAGAGTGGCATGTGGCCCGTTTCGGCAATGGCCTCGGCCGTCAAAGTCTTGCCTGAGCCGGGGGGGCCATGGAGCAAGCCGATGATACCCTTGCCCTTTCCTTTGACGAAATCGTCAAAGTTGGAGGTGCCAGCGCTATGGGTCTTGATGAGTCCGTACATGATGCTTCGAAGCGATTGCTCCATGACGAGCGAATTCAACAAATTCCTTTTCGCTTTAGCAAATCATGATCCGATGGGGCTGTTCCTATCAAGCATACCCATTCCATTCGACGTTTGATAGATTATCCACAGGGAAAGCGCCTAGACCAAGAATTGTCAGAGTGCAACCAAGACAAGATGTAGAGCCTAGACACAGACGAACCCCATTTAGAAGTGCCAAACGAGTATCCGTACACGAGTGGCGACAAAATCAGCTTTTCCTCTTGCGTCATGGTTTCGGGGGAGAGAAGTCGATGCGTCGGGCGCGGGCCGTCTTCCAGTTTGGTTCTGCTCAACTCATCATCAATACCATCTTCATCGGGAGTGGAATTTCTCGATTCGACCGCCCGAGGTACATACTTTTCTGATTCCATGTCTTCGAGGATTGCGTCGTATGCGCTCTAACCTTGGATTCTTCTGATGAGCAAACCGAGCCGGAGGTACTCTTTATAGTTCGAGAAAATGAGGTCTTGCCTTGTAGTTTCCTTCGCCGTTGGCTAGGTCAGACACCCACACACGCGACGAGTTCCGGGCTCTTTTAGGGTCGGGGACCATTTTGTTTCGACCGTCGAATTTGATCCCCCATGCCGGGTGGTACTGTTTCAAAAAGTTTCTGGTCGGCTTTCGACCGTTGACCTGGACCATCATTGCAGGGTCGACCATGGCACGACCGTAGAGCTGTTTTGTTGTGTTGCTCGTCAGCTTCGCAGTCCATAGGTTGCTTGTCTTCTGTAACTTGGATTTCTCACACCAAAAGACGCTTGCTCCAAGTCGTCGCCCGATGTGCATAAGCCTAGGCCTTCACACTCTTGGAACCGAAAGCCTTTCCTGCAGAACCCGAGCTTCTTTTCACTGCGTTTCATAGTCCGCTCCAGCAGGGTGTCCCGTCTGGAGTGATACTTGAGCGGGAAGGCAGTGAGGTCCTCGATCGCCATAGCGCCATCAAATTCTTCGATGATCAAATTCGTCTCCACGACGCCCAAGCTCTTGCCATCCCAGTCCACGCACTCAGCAACAATATTAAAGTAGATGGAATCATCAACCTTCCGTCTCAGAGTGTCGTGGCTGCGCGCCCGCCAGATATTGTCGGCGCCCAGCTTGTCTCTGCTGACGACAAGGCAGTCCGGCGGGAAGATGGTCCAGAGCAGGCCGAACTCAATGGATGCGGGGAGCAAGTATTCCAGTTTGGTGTGCGTGTGCCCCCATTCCTGACGGATGAAGCTTAGGGCTGCATTGATCTCGAAGAGCGAGTTGCTGTCCCCGATGCTCTTATAGTGACGTTCCAGGAGACACAGCTCCGGACGAGCCCAGTAGAAGAAGTGAATATCTTTCACCTTATTGCGTGCAAGAATTCGGTCAGTCCAACCGGAAACAAAAGGTTGGGCCACGGAAGACCGGTCAAGTTCTCCCTCACCTCAGCGTCCGCGTTGTAGGGCGGGGAGAAGCCCTCGGCACTGCGAAAGATGACGCGCAATGCTCTTCGGATCACTTCACCCTTGACGACGACGATAGTATGACTGTATAGCATCTTCTCGTTGTACACTCTTCGCACAAAAAGTACGAAGCGGTCGAAAGATTCTGAAGAGCTCTGGGATTTTGACGGCATCTTGAGTCTCCATCGCAGTTTTTTTCTGTCGATGCCACGCCGCGCAACGGCACTGGTCAGTCTTTATTTCATTGTCGGGTCCTGTAGGCACGAGTCGGAGCCGACACGTCAGCGGGCTTGATACTCACTTATCCCAACTAAAGCGTGAAGGGTTAGCTAGAGATTGCAAGGTTGACGTGCGGGCAAAGAAAAGGGGGCAACAACAATTGGTCTCTTTGACAGAAGTACTCCCGGCCAGCCGATCCTGGCTCGAGGTGAAGTTGAGCCGAGTCTGCCAAACCGGTGTTGGTCTGAACATCCAACTCAGAGCCAGTCTTTACATCCTGGGGCTCTGACGCCTCCTTGTCGCGCTCGAGATACTTATCAAGTGCTGTACGTTTTTGACGCGAGGTTTGTCAGATCAATCCATACCTAGACTCACAAGAAAGAGCATATGGAGGTGACCTACCGAGAGCGATATCATCTTTGTAGACGTCTTGTAGCTTCTTGATCTCGCGATCGGACACGGATGTCTGGGCCAACCGTCGGAACTGAGCGGCGTCGAACACGTCGCGTCTCTTGGCCACCTCCGCTTGTGGTCGAGGCATTGCTACCGTGGAATGGGAGTTATGCTATTTGACGAACGAAAAGTGACGCGGCGCTGGTTTCATTTGTCGACGATGGGGCATTCCCTCGCTCAAATTAGTTGATGATCTAGATAGCCCGGCAAAGCCCAGGCAACATTGCAGCGACCAACAGCCACACTGTCGGCGTGAGGCAACTCGCCCGGCATATTCAGCTTCTGCGGCAGAATTGATGACTGCGTGCGGCTGAAGCCACTCCGGGCACCTTCTGGACCATCAGAGACGGACTGTGTGTGCATGCTCGTTGATGAAACCCTCTTGACCATGCTTTGCGCGCCCGTCAGATTCTGCAGCAAAATGATGACTGCATGTCCGCTACGTCTCAACCATGCAGTGATTGGTCGCCCTGTACGTACTTAAGACGGGTTGTTTCCTTGTGCCGATCACCATGATTGACAGGCAATCTTTTCCGGCCACCTCAGATCCAGACTTATACTGACAGACGTTGACGATGACTACGACCCGCAACCAGGGCGACGACATCAGGCACGAGGAAGAGGAGTGGCTGAAGCCGCCGGTAGGTGCCTTACCCGTGTGTTATACTGTGCTACTCTGTTGCAGCCTTGTCTGGCTGTAGCACTCGGCCGATTGGAAAGGGTTCCGTTGACTTTGGGAATAAAGGCCAGTTCGCTGGGGCTACATCAGGTTTACCCCAATCCAAACACACGAAGCAACCCAGACATTGAGTAAGGCGTTCTGCGTTTCTAATTATGTCCAACCCCCGGCCATCACCCTTCCCCCTACATGTACAGCACTAGAATGTCGCGCCTGGACCCTTCCAGCCCGCCTCATCCATACATCTCTAGTTCTCTACAGCGCTACGATAGTGACGCGAGCGCCCGCAGTGTTGTCTTTGTGCACGGGTTAGGCGGCGACTCCATCTCGACTTGGACCAAGGACAAGTCGCTCTGGATCCGCGCGCTGCTCCCCAAGTCACCCCTGTACCAGAATGCCCGCATTCTGAGCTACGGCTACGACGCCCGCGCCTTCGTCCGACCCTTTGCTCACTCGGTCAATGGCCGCGTCTTCACCTTCGCCGAGGCCCTGCTAGGCGACCTCCGGGACAAGCGCGTGACGGCAGCGGCGCGTGCCCGTCCCCTGATCCTCATGGGTCACTCGCTTGGGGGCATCGTCATCAAGTCGGCTCTTTTGCAGGCGTCTGCGCGCGAGGCATTGTACGGAGACCTCCTCCGGGCCACCAAGGCCATTGTGTTCTTCGGCACGCCCCATCAAGGCGCGGGCACGGCCGAGTGGGCGTCATTCCTCGGTGGTCTAGGCCAGGCCGTAGGGCTGCGTTCGACTGAGGTCGTTGGCGAGCTGAAGCGTTGGTCCCACACGCTCGTGGAGCAGACTACGCTCTTCGCCGACCTCTGGGAACGGTTCGACATCACGACCTTTTACGAGACCATGAAGACCAACGGCGTCATGGTAGGACATATCCACCAGTGGGGACCGGCTGAGTTGGAAAAAGAAACAGGGGCTAACTTGACCCTTCGCCCAGATCGTCCCGGATGGCGCGGCTAGGGTCGGGCAACGGAACGAGCAGGCTCGCAGACTTGTGGCGGACCACATCCAGGTTTGCAAGTTTTCTGAGAACGACGCCAACTGGACGACGGTGCGTGGCCGGCTTGACGCCATTGTCGAGGGGATCATGGAGGCGGAGGCGATACAAATGCATGTTGTCCTACCTGACGCCCCTCTCCAGGAGCCGGCCCGTGCCCAGCTCCGCGGCAGCGAGGCCGACGAGTGGGAGGCGCGGGTGACGAAGCTCAAGCAGACGAATGAGTCGCGAGGCAGCCAATCAGGCAACGGTAGGAGCGGCTGACCAACTCGACTATCGCCAGAACTCAAGACTCGTGGCTCGAGACTCGAGGCGGTGGAGTCCTACATGGGCCCGGGCGCTAGTAAAACCAGACCGCGGGCTATCGAGGGCCTCTCCAGCTGATTCGTGTCTTGGATCGTTGGTTACTCATTGGAGGTTTCACAATGTCGTGTTACTTTGGCCGCCGTAAGGCGTACAGCCCCCAGGCTGTAAGGCGTACAGTCCCCAGGCCGTGAGGCCCACACTACGTATGTATGTGTTTACAGGGAAATGCAGTGGCCCGTGGGGTTTCTCAGTTCAATGTAACGGTTTGCATAGGGGGAGGGGGCGGGTGGCCTGACGGGACCTCTATCATGGCGAGATTTGCAAGTAAACCAACGTACCGCATGTGACTAGAGGGCTGCCTTACGGCACCTAAAGGGATGCCATGCGAGCCTGCTGCCTTGAGGCTGAAAGCGGCTGCCTTATGTTTCTCGTCCCGAGGTGGGTGGACTCTCACTCGAGAAGCCATGGCGCTTCTTCGCTCGCGAGACCACGATACGCATTGCCATAGTCATGGAAGGCCAACTTGGACTTCAGATTCTCTGGCCAGCAGGCCCAGAGCCAATGGACGAGCACAGGCACGAGTATGTCAGCCCAAGTCCCATCTGCTTCTACTCTGCTGACCCGCATTTTCACAGCATTGTGCTCGTCCACGACCTCGGCAGCGGCCCTGTTTGCGACTGGCGACACGAAAACGGGACGCTCTGGCCGCTTCTTCTGGGCAAAGACTTGGGCAATGCTCGCGTCTTTTCGTTTGGCTACAACCACGAGGAAGCGCGTATCCGGCCGCAGGAATATGGAAGCGGTGGCACCGTCTTCAACTTTGGGGAGACCCTCTGCAGTGATTTGAAGGACAAGAGGACGTCAAACAAGGTCAATATCCCTCGCTCTGCTCTCGGGCCCTAGCGGTTAGACGCTCTCATCTAACCAGGACCAGGCACAACCGCCCATCACCTTCATCGGACACGGTACAGGGGGCATCATAATCAAGAGCGTAAGTCGCCTGCCTGCTGACCCGCGCCCAGGTAGAAGCCGGGGGACATGATGCCTTTGAATTCTGACCCTTATTTCCCCATCCCTAGGCGCTTCGCTACTCCCAGGCCAGAAAGTACCTGTACGGATCCATCCTGCGCAAGACGGTGCATGTGGTTTTCCTAGACACGCCGCATATGGGCCTTGAAGACACCAGTAAACACGGCCCGACAGAAAGCGTGAGCGGGTTGGGCATCGGGCAGCTGAGACTCTGGTCGACGGTGCTCAACGATCTCCAAATACCATTTTCCGATATGGCCGCCCGTTTCAACATAACGACGGCACAGGCGTATATCAGAGACGGCGATAACCCTGTATGTGTCCGCAAAAGACTACAAACAGAGAAGAGAGAAGACGAGATGGATCATTGGCTAACTAGCTGCTGGCAGCCTGGAGAATCCGGCCGGCTTTACCTTGCGAACGAGCAGCCCCTAATGCTCCATGGCAAAACGCATCAGACCATCTGCAAATTCGCAGGGGAAGACGACCATAACTACCGCCGACTGCTGGAGCGCATTCGCCACGGTTTTTCGAATCTAACCACAGACCCGGACGATATTCAGAAAATCCGGGCGTGGATCGGAGCCGACGTTGGCTCCCAGTCGGAGGCCCGGTCCGGGTCAATGGACTGGAACAGTTGGGATTTCGAAGACTGCAGGACCAAACATCTCAAGGGGACATGCAAGTGGCTGATCAGCGACCCATCACCCTTCGCTAACTGGGCAAGCAATGACGCCTCCAACCCCATTCTGTGGGTGACGGCACCCGTGGGACGAGGCAAGTCGGTTCTCAGCTGCTTTGCCAATGATTGGCTATCCAAGATGGCGCAAAGACCTGCAACACCTTACCTGATGATCAGCTATAATACGCAACGCACACGCCACCAGATGGCCTCAAGTCTTGCCTCGCAGCTCCTCGAGCATATTGTGAAATCCTCGGTCGGCCAGGGCTTCCCAGGTGGCGTCAACGCCGAGGCTCTTACCCTTGTCTGCCTGGATTCCAAGAATGTTGAAAACATGCACGATCTCATCCGGCTGCTCGTCTCACAGTGCACGGCCGTCTATTTCTTCGTTGATGGGCTCAATGAGCTACCGTTTGACCGGGAGCACGAGTACATTTGTAAAGATCTCTTTTCCACGATTGGTTTCCTCGCCGACCTGGCCAAAAAGAGTGAGACAACCCGCGTCCGGCTCTGGTGCAGCAGCCAACGATCTAAAGTCGTCGTTCGGGGGATGGAAGCACTGGCCCCCAGAGAACTGGCCATGGACAAACGCTTGGTATCCAAGGATGTCCAGCGGTTCCTCCGCGGCGCCGAGGAACTTGTGAAATCTGTCTCGGACGACCCCGGAGAGATGCGATTCGCCGAGTTGAATGGTAAAGCCGGATCCAACTTTCGTTGGGCGGCTCTGATGAAGAACAGCCTCCAGGGCGCCCACACGCCAAAGCAGCGGGAGAAGATCCTCGAGAAAGGCCTGCCAAAGTCGCTAACCGATATGTACTCGGAGCGACTAAAGGAGCTAAAGGCAATGGACATCGAGGATCAGGCCAACGAGGGGTCTCCCTTGTCCATGTTGGTCCTCATTTGCTTCACTTCTAGAAGATCGCTGAGACTTGACCGCAGGCATATCCTATCTCTCATGACGTTTGCGAAACGGCCACTACGAGTAGCCGAAGTCGAGGAAGCTGTCTCCATTATTGACAGCTCCGTGAGCCACGCAGGTTGCGACGATCTAAGTGACAGGAACCGCAAGCTCAGGGAGGATATCGTGCACCGATGCGTGCCTCTGGTCGATTTCGTGCCCGACGCCAGGGGCGGCCACCTCCTGCCATCACACGGCTCCGTCGTCGAGTTCCTACGAAAGTTATTGGTGGCGAGCTCGGATGGAGCGGATGACGATGGACAGAGCCTAGCATCCTTACCGGCGTCGACAAAGGCCCTCGTAGACGCTGCCGTTATGGCCGACGCTTGTCTCAAGTATCTCTTCCAGAAGCGCTACGCCCGGATGCTGCATAGACGGTCTAATGACGAGTTCATGCCGAGTCTGATCTCCGACATCGAGGACCACCATTTCCTGCGATATGCCGCCAAGAACTGGTATCGTCACGCCGACCAAGCGGGCGAGCGGAAGTGCGACGACGTCATGAAGTTCCTCGCCTCGCCCCAGTTTCTCACGACGATCCAGGTGCAGAGTCTCTTCATTGTTGGCCATTTCATCAACCGCATCAACTACTTGGGGCAGCAGGTTATGAAGCAGAACTTGCCCGAGTGGTTCCGCACATGCGACGACGGGCGTTCCATGGCGCGAAGCTACGAGACTTTCTCCGCCGAGTGGAGTCGGTTCCTTCAGTTGGGCATCACGACCTATAAGCAAGCCGAGATTAGACGGTGCTTCTGGGGTGCCTTGGGGCCCGGAAACTTTCTCCAAAAGCACGGCGTCGGTATTGAAAGCCACCGCAGCTTCCTGCTCACTGACGACGACGGCGAGCAGAGCCAAGACGCCGACTGCTCTTATTACGAGATGCTCAGTGACGACGGCAAGCGACTATCCGTCTGGAAAGTCCCTTTTTGCAGGTACGTGGACGAAGATCATATGCAGACATACATGCACACACACATATGTCGATATCTTGATCCCTTATATAAACACATATACCTTGTTCCTGTCTTGATCTCATACACACACAATATCTTGATCCCATATATACACGCACGTATACATATTGACATCCTGATTCCATACACACACGTATATTCACATTTGATCCGCACAACCCTGCAACCAACTGAACTTGTCCTCCAGCACAACAGATGAAGCCCAGGGCGAAGCTACGGCGACCCTGGTACACCAACACTGGTTTGTCGACGGCATCAACCCTCCCTTCCGCTACGGTGCCCCGGAAACCCTCCGGCTTGACATAAATGCCGTCAAGTGGCCACTCTACGACTCGCAGGCCTTCCCCCTTGTTCCTTCGGCAAATTGTCCGATGCGTGTGACCCCCGTTGCCGACAGCAAGTACGGCACTGCAGTTCGCGTCGGGTCGGTCAGGTTTCGTCGCCAGCCCGGTCGCGTATGGAAAAGCGACGGGCCGACTTCATACTGGGAGGACATCGTGGTCGAGCGCGAGTACACGGTCCATTCACGTCGTAAGCTCGTCAAGACACGAGGGAAGGAGAAGGAAGGGGGGGCGGCAGGGCGGCTGGCGCAACGAGGGAGATTGTCCCATGAGGGCCGGCGTACAAGTGCGAAGCAGATGGACTCGACCCACGATGACGAGCTGGAGCATGAAGCCTCAGAACTGGACGACGATGAGCTCGAGAGACTGGGTTGGGGCGCCGTTTCTTCGGCAGACGAACAATGTGATTCCGAATCCTCGGACGGTGCTGAATCGGACGATGGCGACAAGGAAAGTGATGGTTTGTCGGCTTCATCAGAGCAGGAAGACACTGACGAAATGGTGGATTCTGAAGCTGAAGGCTACATGGCCTTCTCGAGCTGGAAAGCCAGATTGATGCCCGACAATGTCGATTTCGACGTGCAAGACGGTGACTTGTCATCGAGCTCGGCAGTCTTGTCGGTTGGCGATTCTCGACATGACGACGCCGACGCAGACGACGAGGGCGGCGGGGACGAAACAGCGTCCGGAACATCAGATAGTGAGGTCGACAAGGAGCGCCTCAGGCGCTTCCAGCCTCGCATTTATTCGCCGTCGAGGCCGCAAAGATGGAGCTGTGGTCACTGCGGGAAATCCGGCGGTTCCTCCGACAACAATCCAAAGCTCGAGGTTTTTTACCAATGCCGCCGACAAGAATGCTACAAGATGGCATCCTCTGATGTCTGCCTGGCCTGCTTCGCCCTCGGCGCCTGGTGCCGGGACGAGAAGCACCAGTTACGCAAGATGACGGTCCTCCACGGCCGTGTGCGCCGCCGGGAGCTCGTGTCCCGCCACGACTCGAGGCCCGGGCTTGACGTCGTGGTCCGGCAGCGCAGCGGCAATGGCCATGAGCAGGCCGTCTTTCGCTTCACGAGTAGGACACGGGCGATGCTGTACGGCTCGCCGCCCGTGGTCCATGCCACCTCGCCGCTGCTCGTCTACGCCATCGACGGCGTGCGCTTCCTCTTTGCCAGCCTCGACGACAACTCGTACTTTGAACACCGTGTACCGCTGGGCTCGGCTGAGACGGGTGACGGAGGCGTCGACGCGTGTATCCCCGTGGCGGCTCAGATGGCCTTCTCGCGCTGCGGCGGCTTTCTGCACGTCGCGAGGGTGACGGCCCGCCGGGAGCCAGGCTCACGCACCGCCGTCAACCTCTTCGTCCAGGTCTTGACGGTGCAACTCGCCGCCAAGAGGCCGTGCTCGCGACTCCCGCGCACCCTGGCTCGTCGCCGCGGCGTCGCGCTGGGCAGGTGGGCGTCGGTGGCCGCCATCACCTGTCTCCCCTTTGCCATGACGTGGATCGACGGCGATGTGTACGTGTCCCTGAGCATGGATGAGCTGCGCGTTTTCAAGATTCCTCTGGATAGGGGCGAGGAGCGGTCGAGCAGCGGCGGCGGCGACGGTAAGAAGGGAGCCGGCGACGGCGAAGCTGCCGGGGGTGGCGAGACGGTAGACTGCCGAGCTGCTGTTTCTGAAGGTGGTGAAGCCGGCAAAAGGAACGAGACGGCAGACTGCCTGGCTGCTGTTCCCGACGATGGTGAAGCTGCCGGGGGGGGCGAGACGGCAGACTGCCGAGCTTCCGTTCCCGACGACGACGGCATCCAGGCGCTCGCCAGCCGCGTCTTTCTTCCCTGCTCGGCACGGCGGCGGCCCGTCTACTTCTTCCCCGAGACGGGAGCGGCCGCGGCCAAGATCGTCTTGGGCGCGCGGCGCACCGAGCAGCAGGCCGAGCCGCCGGCCGTGATATACCTGCGGGCCGACGACGCCAGAGCGTGGGTGGCGGCCGCCGACGCCGTCGTGTCCTTCGAAGACGCGCCGCTGCGGAAGTGGGACCAGCTCGAGGAATTTGACGCCGAGGACGATTGCGAGCTGATCCTGTCGTTGCACGACTTTCAAAGATAATCCCGTACGGAGGGCATCAGCCCGTCTGGTGAGCCGGTGACCGGGCAGACTCCGTGTCGTCTCCGCCTTTTATCGTGTAGTGATTATCAATCCAAATTGATTTGATTCTAGCGGGACGAGCATAGAGTGTAAAACCCATTTGACACCCATCTTCGCGGTACTCCTGTCGTCAATGCATGTGTGGTGGAGTGTATTTTGATCTTGATGCTTTGACAGATTCGTCTTATACGTCTTTCCTGGCCACCCAATCGTGGCATATCGTTGTATCCGAAGCATGTAAATGCATCACATGACAGCCAATCTAGACTTGTCCAACGCTGCTCCAACTTCGTCGTCCTTCAACTGATTCCTACCTACATGTATGTGCTGTAGTCACATCGTTATCATGGCGACCCCTTCACCCGCAGCCGTCAACCACCCTGGCGCTAGACCCGGCCTGCGCTTGAATAAGGACCTAGACCAGTTGCTTCAGATTGACGAGGTCGAGACTCCCTCGTTGCCCATGAGAAAATTCCTCAAGGCAACCCTGGAAAGCCCCCATCTGCCCGGCCAGCCTCGTATCCGTCTGAATCCAGCCGTCGACGCCGACCCGGACGAATTGCTCCAATACTTGCGGAACTGTCACCTCACCGACGAGCTTGATGGACTGCTGCCCTTTACCAAGTACATCTTCGTGAGTTCATGTTGTCTACACTGTTCTGGTCTGCAGCAGCAGCAGCTAACCTCCCTCAGGTCCAAACGCCTTCGTACAGGCACATTATGCCGCTGCATCACAATAAAGCCCATGATCGAAAGGTTGTCGTCGATGAGCATCCTGGCCTGCATCTGCTGTGGTACTATGATAGGATCTTCATCAAACCCATCCCGGCCTACTTCTACTCAAAGGTCTTCTGGGACTACCTCGAGACTGCCGATCCACAAGTCCACAAAGCTGCTCTAGGCTTCATGCGAAGTTACTACTTTCTCATCCAGTATCAGATCGATTTCAACCAAGCCTGCGAAATGAGTCTCGTTCCCAAAAAGCCCCGCCAAGGCAATCACCCCACATATGAAGAATTCTACGCCTTCATAGCCCAGTTCAAGGATGTCGATGACGTCCACACATGCAGACGTTATCACTTTGGCGAACTCCGCTTAACGCGCATCGACAAAGCCGTCATGCTCTTCAGCGGCCACCTAGCCTATTTTCACATCTATCCTCAGTGGGGCTCATTCCTGAAGCATATATTTGCGCCTCTTTTCACCATCTTCGCCGTTGTTTCCGTCGTGCAGGTCGCTCTGGCCGCGCAACAGATCACCAGCGGTAGCACTTCATCTGACTGGAAGGCTTTTATCAGCGTCACTCTGTTCTTTCCCATTGGCATCATGTGCCTGGTTGTCGTTGTTGTCGCCGCTGGCTTCATAGGAATCCTCATCATGTGTGTCAAGGACTTGGTTTGGGCAAACAGGGTCAGGCGACAGAAGAATGATGGCGACCAGGGAGCCGGAGAAAAGAGCTATGGAATGATTTGGTAGTCATTACCAGCTCGTGTATGCTGCGACGCTGGAAATTCCTTGCCAGAGTTGAGTGACGCATCAGCCATGGTTGCTCGTGTTTGGCATGTCGTGTAGACTTCTCGATATCAAGCTGCTCGACTTTGCCCATGTTTCAACTTTCTGCCATCTCCGCCACAGGTAAGTTTCTCAAAATATCATCTCTACCAGCAGCCACTCCCGCCGCTCTCTGAACTAAAGCGTGACGACCTCTAAGCTCGAGACGGCCACTGGCTTGGCGAACTGCGAGAGTAAAGAATACGGAATAACCTCTTCGGCATTTCCCAGGAGCCAATATCCCGCCATGTCGCCGGTCTGTCTGAATGGGCAGGCGTATTGCTACTCAGGGATACCCCTTACGCATCCCTTCTTGTGAGCTTTCCAGTTCGCCTTTTGGTGTGCTTTGCCACAGTATGCCACTGCATGGCATCTGCTGCAACTCTTCACCCCCACCGTCTTCAGGCATATTTTGCATAGCTAGACCTCCATGCAGCTACTGCTTCATCCTTAAACCTCGGCAACCATCTCGTCCTCCTGCCTCATTTCTTGCATCACCAGCCGCATTCACAGCCTAATCTTGATCTCGCACTCCCTCTTTCCACGTCAAGGGGTCACCCAGACGACGATGCGTGGTTGCCCTCCATACAACTTGGATATTGGGCTCTGTAGGATGTCCGTAGCGAACCGGCTGCAGCATTCACTGAAAGCCCTCGACGCGCTCCGACAAGATGACGCATGCTCCCTCATGAGAACTATCATGGACTGAACAAATCGTTCATCGTATTCACCATCCCGCCCGGCACAATGGGCCTCTGTGACGAGGCCGCGGGAAATGATGTGGTTGTGTACAAATCGCGTGGCGCCGAAGTGGCATATAATCTCGACGCGGACTGTTGAGGTTTCCGTAGTTCAGTTTCCGGGCTGTATGTGTGAAATAATGCGTAGGCTGAATGAGAAGAAGGGGCAAGAGACCATGGTTCAAGACCGAATTTCACGCGTCTGACTTTATCTGCTCTTCCTCTCGCCCCTTCTCACCTTCCCAATGCTTTTTATCGGCACGTTGTGTTGCATGGCATGACTGCGTGTGATCCCGGACCTTCGGCAACGAAGAAATAATAAAGATGAAATAGCGGCGTTTTACGGGCCTAAATCTGGCAATAAGACGGGGACCAGGGGCGCTAGGAAAAATCACGATGCATCGGATCTGGCCTATTAGTAGAGCCTTATTTAATATAGCTTTAACTCTATTAGTCAGACCAAGAAATAAAGATGATAATATGGCGGCGTTTTATAGGCTTAAAATCGGCAATACGACGGGGACTAGGGGCGCTAGGACGAGAGCTTGTCAGTGTGGCAGCTTAAAAATCACGACGCATCAGATCTGGCCTATGTAGCAGAGCTTTGTTTGCAGCTTCGGCTCTGTTTTTTTTAGTGATACAAAGAAACGATCAAGGTTAACGCGGCGGAGTTTCATAGTCTTGAATGTGATCACATGCCAGAGGGAGCCAAGCGCCACCAATTCTCAATGCGGGACCTGATGGATGTCTGTAGCGGTTTCCCAAAGTCCTCGGCAGTGCTTTGATATATAACAAGGCTGCTGCCTATTGCTATTCGGGCAATAGATCGGGCCGTTCCCAGCGTTGGTAAAAGTGAACGCCACCTATCTGAATTTTGCCCATAATTCTGGCTTGTTGCCTTTCGAACCTAACTTCACCCTCCCTGACCCTGTGTTGCCGGAGATCTTCGAACTAGCGAGTACAACCGGTGCTGGCACGACAGTTGATATGTCCTTCCAAGAACAGTTTCGAATCGAAGACACGAATGCCGCCAGGGATTCCCACACGATTCAGAGCACGGTCAAGGATCTGCTCAGTGATTTCGACGGGCACATCTACGTTGATATTGAAGGACTCGCTGCGACTTTCCTCGAGGCTCGGCCTTGGTCAGGCCCTGCAATTGCAGTAGCTAGGGAAATTACCGGGCCACACGGACCGGCAATCGGATCATGCGAGGCTTTTGCTGCCTGGCTCGAGCATTTACAGACTGTCACTCGACCTTACAATGTGCCAGAAGAAACAGCCACTCACTTCACGTGGCTCGAAACGACGTCACCGAACTCATCCCTCATCCTCTCAAATTGTGTTCATGGGAAGGATGGCTCCAGATGGTCGAATGTCCTTGCACTTGGCGAGATGAGCATCGACGGGCCCTATAGGACGAGGTTTCACAATCTGTGTATTCACGCCAACGAAGTGTTCACCCATCAAACTGCCCGCGAGCTCCTTCATGGTTTCTATCTTTGTGGAGGCGTGTTGGAAATATGGGTGTTCGACCGGGCGGGGATATACGGAAGTAAGGCCGTGGACGTCAGAAAGACACCTGGCCTACTGACTCAAACTCTTGCCAGCTATCTACTCATGGACAGCGCCTCGCTTGGTGTGGGCGATTTGATAAAACATGACCATGTGGGGAACTATATTGAGTGCGAGCTTGACGGTCCGACTGGGGCGAGCCGGCTGTATCTTGGCGAGCCGACGATTTTCGAACGAATCAGCAAGACCATTGTCGGCGACGGGCTTACTTGCTATCGCGCCAAGGCACAAGGTTCTGATTACTGGAAGTACGCAGTCAAGGTCAAATGGTCTGAGTCTGACGACAAGTCTGAGGCTGGATTGCTTAAGCTGGCCATGGAGAAGCGTGTCTGGGGGGTTATCCGACTTATTCAACACCGGATTGTATGCGGTACGAGCGACTGGCGTTGTGGTTTGATCCTTGGTGAGCCTCGGAAATTCTCATCCTGGGCAGGCGCGGCCAGACAGGACAGTCCTGGATCGGCCATTGACCATACGGTTGAACTTTCGAGGAACGAGGAGGCCCACGCCGGCGATGCGCCACACGCAACTATCGATGACAGGATCCTTAACTGTGTCGTCATAACGCCGCTTGGCGAGTCGCTCCATCACTGCAAGTCAGTTCCCGGGCTTCTTTATGCGTTACGAGATGCAATAAAGGGCCATCGTTCGCTGTATCAAGACGGGGGGATTCTTCACCGGGACATATGCCCCGGGAATATTATCATTCCATCGCGTGGCGCGGGCTCTCGTGACAGCCATGAAGCCAAAGGTGTGTTAATTGACTTGGATGTTGCAAAGCTGGTAACGGCGCCATCGAGACAATTCGAAAGCGTCGGGACACCACATTTCCAGGCGATCGGTGTCCTGCAGGCCTACCTACCCGACAACCCTCATACCTATTGGCATGACCTAGAGGCTTTCTTTTACACATTCCTCTTCCTTGCGATATGCAAACGACCAGTTCCTGCGGGTGAGAACCAACTGCAGCTGCCAGCAACAAGCGCACTACAGATGTGGATTCAAGGTCGGCCCGTGGACAAGGCAAACCGCAAGACAAAGGACATGCATGCCGAAAACTTCCGCGTCATAATGGCTGAGTTTACACCCGATTTCAAGGGACTCTTTGAATTGGCGGAGAAACTCAGGTGTCCATTGTTCCCCATGAGAGACGGGAAGTTGTGGACAGGGACCGATCATACGACCCAAGGCACGGCAGCCCTATACGACGGGATGATCGAGGCTTTTGACATGGCGGCCAAATTCGCATGCTCGTTGTGAGCAAAGTTGTGTAGGGTGCGGGTGGGGATGTTGGTCAAATCATGGCATACACGGCCGTCAGTTTATATTTTGAAGAACGCACAGCTGGAAGCTAGGATACGTCAAAGGCTTTTACATTCCCAAAGTAATCATTGCGCTGTAGAGACTGATGCACCGCACTGCTGTATATAGTCTAACATTTAGGGACTTTGGCCACTGACAGGGTTGCCAGCCCGAACACCAGCGGCTGCGTGCCGCTAGACACGAAACAAAGCTCATCAGGGCAGAACTTGGGCGGGTAGGGCAAGAAGTGACACGTTTATCTGAAGACTTGACCACCTTTCACAACCTCAGATACAGGGTAGCAGTCCCGGAGCTGGCGCAGCGAGACAAACTTGGAAGGCTGGAAAGAGTCTGTAAAGCCTCTCTCGACAAGAAAACGACTGTTGTTCGAGGATTAAGGGGGGAGTGCAACGAGTTGCAGCAGCGGGTGCTCAAACTGAAAGGATATGCCGAGTACAGTATGAACCAGACATCTGCCGGGCTCGGCTGCAGGAGCACTCGATGTCTCGGGGAGTCAGGCAGCGAGCTGTCACATTCCGGCTTCTGCGAAACTGGCCCGGGCCTACGTATTAAGGACTCGAACTTGCAATCGAAGACCATATAGTAAATCAATTCGTCCGTTGTCATCGCACGATGTATACGGAAAGCGGCCTCGCCGTCTTGCTACCGTGGCGTAAGCCGTCCTCTGTTCCATTGCTGTGGACAGACGGAAGAAAACACTCTGGCGCCGTCGCCCGGGGGCATTGTCGACATATGCCACCGGCTCATTCAAGATTGGTGCCCCCAGGAAGCAGGGGGCGAACCTGACAGTAACCATTAGTCCACCGGGCTTGTGACAGGCATTCATGCAGCCAGGGGGGAAATCTATGGGGTGGACAAGTTTGGGTCATCCTACAGGAGCAGTGCTGACAATTGCTACGTTATGGCGAACTGACAAATAATGAATTGCAACAGCAGTCACTTGCTTGTTTGCAGGGACCTGGAGGAGCGCCTGTTACGAGGATGCTCTTGCGATGCTTGGTGGCACAGTAAGAAAACAGCCATACTTCCTTCGTACGACGACGCTGAACAGATTGCGCAGACAAAGTGTCCCCCCAACCTCACCATGCTCAAACAACACTTTGCTGGTCCCTTGCTCGGTCCCCAGGGCCGTCTCATTGTTCTGCACATGGAACTCGCTTGCCTCGGAGAGCGCTTAACCCTGCGATGCCCTGTCCCAGTTTAAGGATGGAAGCTTGAATCACTACTCCCCGGTGTGTCAGCAGCAATATCTATCTACAACTATCGATCTGCATAAAGTCGCGAACGACCCTTTGACGGGCGATGTTCTTGAGGCGAGGAGTCGACGCTGAGGGTTGTTAGCCTATGACGCCTCGTACGAACCGTGCCCTCGCTGCAGGTCGACGTAAAACTCGACACAAAACCCATTACGGGCCATCAAGGTCTAGCACTGGTTGGCTCGGGATCTATGAATCGTGCTCCGAACCGACATCCCCAGACACGCATTGCGCTGCGTCGTCCTCAGAATGGCGCTGTCAGTCGTCACCAGCTATTTGTTTCCAAAGTGCATCGTGGGCGTCTTTCCATTCTGTTGACCGTGCGCTTTGAATGCAGTCGACGTGTTCCGATTGCTCACCGTGGGACTCTAGAACAGCCCCCCTCAGCAGCAACTGCGCCCTCCAACGCAATTTTAGCATTCGCAGCCCGAATCAAATTGTCTCGGTGCCGCTTCGCCAAGTCCCTCGTATTCCTGAATGCAGTTTCTCCCGCAACGAATGTGTTACGATTGTCCGTCATGTCAAATCCACGTATCTTGGTCATGTGATACTCTGGCCGTCCTCCGGAGCTGGCCGGAGCCTGGGCTTGGTGAGCGTACAATTTGAGCGTGCCGTCGTGGTAGGTCGAGCTGTAAGTATATGCAAGCCCGTAGCATGCTGGCTCTGACTTTCCATAGCTTCGAGCGTCCACAGCGCGGGCTCCATATGCTCCGTCAAGGCATGCCTGCCTCAGTGCCACGTCAGCATCCCCTTTGGATGCCTTCGCTTCTAGGAAAAAGTTCGGCGCTGCCGGAACACCTGATAGCTTTGTGGGTATGATCATCTGGCTTAGGGCTCTGCTAACTTCTCTATTGACGGTCTCTGGGTGAGCTCCATCGAAGAAGTCTGGCACAGCCTTAACTGTTGCTTCTTTCGTCAAAGATTCGAGATTGGTAAATGGAAGGTGTCCTTCGTTCGGAATATCGGCGGTGCCTGCAATGATAGGGACTAAGCTACGCATGACAGTGCCCTCTGAGTTCGTTTTGTTCTTACGTTTGAAGTCCCGATATGCCGACTCGGAGAAGCGGGATGGCGAAAGTGAAGCCCTGGCAAGTAGCAGGGCCTGATGGACGGAGTCCAAGTTGGCGGGTTCTGGTGTTGCTCGACCGTCTGGGTGTGCATATCCTTCAGGGAATACGCCGTTGCCAAGCAAATGCTGCTCAAAGTCGTCATCGTATGCCGAGGACCTTCTGGCTCTGGATGACACGGTAGTGGCCCTCGTGGATTGTGTACGCCGGCTTTGAGAAGAAGCAGAGACAGAGTCGGAAGCCGTTGTTGAAGCTACTTTCGGTTCGGGATACTGGCCATGATTAGCTGACATGTGACTTACAAAACGAATAGATACAACCGTACCCCTCGAAGATGACAAAGATCGGGCCCTCTGCCCATCGAAAATCGACGGAGATGTGCCGTTACAACCCCAGCAGAAGTCGCGCAACTGGGGGGATGTTGTGCGTCGTTTCGGCGGTCGAGTTCTCGTAGGGCACGAGGCGAGAGCCAAACCTTGGACAGGTCGTCCCAAAAAGACGGTGAGAAGTTGGAGACGTGACAAGCTCTCGTTGACAGCTTGCGTCTCTTCGTCGGAAGATTGTCGTCCAGAAGGTTGTGTCGTTCTCGCCTCTTTCGACAGTGCAAACTCGCCATGAGTTACCGTATGCTCCATCAAAGAAGAAAGCCGCAAGGCTCCCAGGTCATGACCAGTGGCCGGCTCTTTATCATGCGACCCGACTGTGATGCGCCGCGTGCAGGATGATTGGACAGAAATGCACAGTGATAACCGCTTGCTGTGCCTTGGAGCCGCTGGCGCCGACCGTTGGCTGCTGTGAGCCAACAATTAGCCGCCGGGCGAGCCATTCAGAGCATTTACACGTCGCACCATGGTCAGCCTGAGTGGCCATTGTAGCAGTTATCGGTCGCAGGACTGGGCTGTGCATGACGAGTTTCATGGGTGCGGTGCGGCTCACGCGAGAAGGCCACGGTGCGGCCTGTCTACTTGCCGAACCCAACGATTGCTGAAAACATGAAGCTGGCAGCCTGCACCGACCTTTTGCCGAGCCCCGATGCGTGCATTTATGCATTTCCCTCGCCAACTGGTGCTGCGGGTGCTGCGGGTGCTGCGTTGGCATTGCCAACTCGCGTGCTCTGGCGACTGAAGATGAAGGTTAATGCTGTTCGGCCAAAAAAAAGGTGCGATATTACTCATCGATTTACTGAGGTTGCTAACAGGACATTATCATTCAGAGCCGATAGTTTGGGACGAGTAGGGAGTATGACACCCACTCGACGCCCGTCTGGGTGGTGCCCCTATCTCCAATGCCTGTAGATCCGAATTCTACGACAGTGACTCCCCCTAGGCATTATGCCGGAGGGGAGCCAAGAGGCGGGCTCGCAAGGGATGTGCCACTGCCGATTCCATACTGAACGAGCTGCGCGCAGAGACAAAGGATATCGTGGGCAAGGAGGCATGGAGCGCGATGATGAGGGTCGTCTGGAGGTTCGTCTTGAGGGCCGTCAACGCCATAGACGACGCGCCTGTCCGCCTCGAGGTCCGCGCAGCAGTCGGCGAGGCTATCAGCGAAGAGGCTCCAAGCTCGCAAGCTCGCACGCGAGGGCCGAAAGTAAGCCGGATCAGCGGCGACTACCTGGGCATCCGTGGCCGAGGTGGGGGCTGTGCGGGCCGGGTTCAGCCTGCCCCTCGCCCGTGGGAATAGAGACACCCTAATCAAGGAGATGGATGGAAGCAGCCAACGGGGTTACGGTAGTCCGGCTTACTGCGGCTCGTCACCGAGTCGCCGGGCATCCACGAACGGCCCTCTGCCTAGGCGTCGACTAGGCGTCGGCCCCTACCAGGCGTCGGTCCCTACTAGGCGTCGGCCCCCTACTGCTAGTATCAGTATCTGCTACGTATAGGATGCCTTTGATGGGACCTCCCCAGGGGCTGGCGCCCTCCCCAACCTGGCAGAGAAGCCGAACCCGGAGCTCCTTTATAACACGAGGGGAGTGCACGCGGTGCCGCCGGGACGACAGGGATGGCACTTGCCTGGGCCCATCCAGCCATCAACATCTGCAGCAGCGGCCTCCTGCGCAGTCCTTTTAGGGAAGAGCAAAAGCCCCAGCAAAGAGGTTCTTTTGTCACGCCATTTTGCCAGGCAGAAGTACAGTGGACACTCCAGCAGATGCAGAATTGACTGCTGTTACACGTGACGAACTCGGTGAAACAGTGGCCTACAACCCCACCGGCACGCATCTCCCCTTGAGAACGGGGGAAACAACTTCCAACATCTCCCAATCCATGTCGTGAACTTGGCTTTATCCTCCATCTCCTTGCATCGATACTTGAACATCCATTTTCCTGATCCGTTCTCCTGCCGCAACCTCTTCATCATCATCGCATGCTCCTCGTTCGTCTCGCTGCTCTTGCTCAGCGTCGTCATGGCCCACGTCATCCCCGCCATGCTCATCCGCCGTTTGCGCGACATGGAACTGCAGCAGCCCGAGAAGCGCGACCCGTCGCCAGCCGCGGGCGACGACAACAGCCAAGGCGGATACAGGCCGACGCCCATTGACATTGTCGTTACGCGCATCATGCTCACGCGTAGCAAGCGGCTGCCGCCGGACCTGGTCGACTCCATCTTTGACTTTGCCGAGTACTGGGCGCACTCTACCAGTGTCGTCAACTACCCGTCGGAACATCAGGATCACCTGCGCATCAGGGGGACCGGCGCCGATGAAAACAAATTTCTGGTGAGCTGCCTTGGGCCGCGCTGTCGGTGCCGCCCTGACTGACCCGCCTTGCCCAGCTTCGCTCATTGCCTCTGGGCCTGACGACCATCCACGGAGACCAGAACCTGGCCGAGGAGCTGACCTACGACAGCAACGAGGCGAAGCCGCTGCCCCTGGAAACAGAACACGATGGCGTCTTCTTTGCGCGGCTGGCCAACTACCCGACCCCACGGCTGGTTAACCCCTGCCGCAAGATTGTCTTTTCCATCAGGAGCCACGACCAGGGATGGGGCGGCCAGCCCGAGAACAGGGACACGTACAAGTCGTCGTGGACCTGGTTCGAGGCTGGGCTGGAGCGGTTTGATGCCACGCAAAACTGTGAGCTGGCTTTGTCGCGTTGGCCGGATGGCGCTGACTCTGGCAGGCGACGACAAGTGCACATACGACGTCCGTGGCGATTCGCCGAGCTCGACGCCGCCCGACCTGCCCGTATGCGGCCTGCGACCGGTCCATCCCTCGATCGAGCAGGGCGAGTCGGAAGACTACCGATACGTGCACCCGACGCTGCACCAAGACCAATGGGTGATCCGACGAAACAAGACGGCGTCGAGGGTATGGCAAGATCACGTCGTCACGTGGTCGTACGGCGACGACATCAAGGCCGAGTCGGACGCGGGCATGGAGCTGGACGAGCAAGGCCGGGGACGGGGGACGGGAGACGGGACGTTTGTGAGGAGCTTGAGAATGGGGGACGTGGTGACTGTGTGGGGCAAGGCGAGGTTTCCGGCGTGGGTGAACAATATCGAGTCTGTCAAGATTGAGGTGTACTGGGCCGTCTAGACTCAAGAGGCGGGAGAAGAAACAAAGACGTCGTGGCATCCATGTGCAGAGTCACAATGGCGATGGCGAGGAGCCAAGAGGACGACTGGCATCGGGCTTGAAGACCATGATGACTGCAGGCGGTTTCCACCCTGGCGGACTAGACTTGGCACGAAAATACACATTTCGTGCTGCGTGGGCGGTGGTTGGCTGAGGTCTGACTGCTTGTGGCGACACGTGTGGCCGGATGCGCGATGGGGACGCCGGCAGATGGGCGTCCGGGAGCCATGAGCAAGGACGAGGCGGGCGATGGCGCTCGCGGTCGAGAACATTGAGCAGTGGCCACGCGGGTAAATGGGAGAGGGAGCGGGTGAATGGACAGGCAACAGTCGCTGCTGTCATGTCAAACCGCACAGGCCGCCCAGTGGACGTGTGTGCATCCACGTGAGGCGGCACGGCAGAGGATGAATGCACTGTCGTCCAATGTCTCTATCGCGACGTGGTCTCATGGCCCAGTGGCGGCGGATGAGTGGCGCGCTGAGAGGCGGCGGCAGCGTCGAGGGGCCACGGTAGGGCCGCGTGGCGTGTTGGGTGGGGGGGAGGAGTTGGTGTGGAAATGATGGTGATGTGCTGCAGCACTCCTTGTTGATTATGGCGGAGTTGTAAAAGGGAAGAAAGGGAGAGGGAGGAGGTGAGAAAGAAAGAGGAGATGCTTCGGCGCAGGTCTGGGCGCGTTTCCGCAGACGCCGTCACCACGCCCGGGTAGCATTGGATGCTGAGACGGAGGAGCGAGAGGGGGGGCAGAGGGAATGCTTGCATGCGCCATTTAGTATTCCGCCGCATTTCTCCGAACCAGCTGCTGCTATTCGTGTTGCTACAGCACAGAACTGTACCTGCGTGCAAGTGTGTGTGCGTGAGTGGGTGAGAGAGTGAGGCCAAGATGGGGTTAGGCCAAGGCGAGTTGAGTCAGAGTCTGTGCGCACAGCAGCAACTGTAAATCGAGTTCCCGGCCCCCCCTTCTCCCCGCTCCCGCTCCCGTTCCTGCAGAGTGGGTTGCTTTTGCGCAATCAGCCTCATGGCCGGGTGTCCGGCTGGCTAGTGCCGAAGGCGAGGATCTTCTTCTCTTGTTTCTTCCAAGCAACACCTCGCGGCCCTCATTGCTCCACCCCGGCCGGATACATGCCGCTTTGGGCCGCCATTGTGGGGGGCCTTGACTCCGGAGCTGTACGGGCTCCGGGGCTACCTACTCGCGATGCGATAAAAGAGAAGCTTTGCTCAGGAAAGCGAGGATGGGGTAGGTAGACAAGAGTGGGAGAAGGGCGGCTTACTCCCTGTGCCGGATGCAGCACGTGCACGGTATTTACGCGAGGCGCTGCGAGTGGCATCGATGGCTGGCAAGCCCGAGAATCTAACACATGAAGCAATAAGTCAATAACCATGTTTTTACCCACCCATGTCATCGCACCAATCTGTGAAGACGGCAAAACGCCTCAACTCTCTTCTTGCGTGCAATCAAAACCCGCCAGCTACGGATAAAAAGCTGGAAAATTTTCTCTGCGGCCCCTCCCACGCCCAGCGCCGATCCGGCCTCGGCACCAGAAGGCCCTGCTGTTGGGCCCTTTATCTCGAGTTGGGGCGCAGCTCTCTGCCAACGGCGAGGTCGAGGGCGGATCTCCGGCCCGGGCCAAGCCACCGAGCACTGCCCCGGGCCCCTACAAGATAAGAAAGTGGAATATCTCATCAGGGAGTCTCATCGGGGAGAGAAAGAGACGGGGAGAGATGAGACGGTTGCAAAAGACGCGACGGCTCCTTCGGCGCAGGAACTGCCCCCTCCGCTCAGGGGAAGCCGAGGCGGCAGAAAAGCAGCGCTGAGACCAACCGGGATGCCCAAGAGGCGCACTCCAGGCCAAGCCTCCAGCGTCCGCGTAGAAGCATATCCTCATTTTTTTTTAGCCTTGCATCATGTCCCGGCAGCAACAAACACGCGTGGACCCTGAGCTTATTACCCCCATTTTCCCCATTTCTCAGCCGCACCACCACCGATTAGGTAGTGTCGACAACCTCGCTCCCCACACTCCCCTCCTCCACCACTTGCGCTTTGTTGCAGTCATTAATCTATCAACGAGGCTGTGTCGACGCGAGCAAATCTCTCTTCGTCCCTGTTTGGCCAACGCCGCGTGCATCGCTTGGCTTTTCGTAGCGCCTCGCCTCGTAGTTGCCCTTCGGCCTACCGAGTAAAGAAGGTGGTTATGATATGACCCACGTGGGCAGAGGCGGTTCCCAGCCGAGCAGCCGGCCGAGCAGCCGGCCGAGCAACCAGCCAAGCAGCCAGCCAAGCAATCGGTTAAGCAGTCGTTTATTAAGCAGGCAGCCTTGAATTAAATGCCTCGTAACTATTCCCATGGACGAGGTCTCCGCATTTCCCAGCAGCAAGGTTGCGAGGCAGCGAGGCGGGCAAATAGACGACAAAATAACTTTTTTTCTTCTCCCCTCGCCTTGAGTCACCACCGCCAGTCGACTAATCAGCAACACCAGGTAATCAATACGTACGTACCTGCCTGCATATAACCTCCCACCCGCCGACATCAACCCTCCTTTTATATTCCTTTTCCCGTCCTCACCCGCCGCACTCTCGAGACGCAGCAAAGTCCGTCCGCTGGCTGCACCTCTGGAACGCCTCGCTCGCACAACATACACGTCCTCCTTCTTGTTTCTCGCTCCCCCGCCTACCCCCCCGGCTCACGCACTCGTGAGCTGCATCCCGCAAATCTGGAGGATCTCGCCCTCGACGCCTTCGCAGCCGTGGCGGCGGCATCGACCCTGCAGCCAATTCGTCTCAAGCCGCCATAGCGTCCGTCTTTCTGCATCAGCCTCATCGCTCCCAGCATAGGTCCGCAGCAGCCCATAATACCAGCCAGCCGCCGCAGCACCAACACCAGCGTGCCTATACTGGCATGAGCTCCAAGACCCCATCTCCGTCGTCGGCACCATGTCCTCGCTCGCCAACTCCGTAATGGCCCGTCTGCCCGCCCGCCTCCGACCCGCCCGCTCCGCCGCCTGGCCGCCGAGCATGTCGTGGATTTCCCTGCCTCCCTCGGCCCGCGACGCCTCCCCCGAGGCCGTCCTCGCCGCCTTTGCCTCGTTTCACGGCGAGCAGGCGCTGCAATTCCTGCAGTCGCACGTCCATGGCCTGTCCGACTCCGAGGCCGACGTCCGCCGCGTCGTCAAGGGCGCCAACATACTGCCCACCCAGCGGCCGCCGTCGTGGATCCTGACGCTGCTCGGTGCCATCCCGAACCCGTTCAACGTCCTGCTCATCTTCCTGGCCATCATCAATGCCTCTGTTCCTGATCGCAACTGGGTAAGTCATGACTCCACCATGCCCAAGTCGGATCTCGACACTGACTGCTGAAAAGGCGGGGATAACGGTCCTCCTCATCATGGTCTGCGTCTCCGTCCTTGTGCGCTTCTGGCAAGAGTACCGCAGCAGCGTCGCCGTCTTCCGCCTCCAGTCGTCCATCACAAACACCCTCATGGTCCGTCGCCAATCCCCGCCAAAAGCCGCGGGCCTCGAAGGCGCCCTCGGGCCGACCCCGGTGTCCGTCATGGAAAAGGACCTCGTTCCCGGCGACGTCGTCGTGCTCTCTCCGGGCTGCATCGTTCCCGCCGACTGTCTCATCCTCGACGCCTCCTTTTTGCGCATCAGCCAGTCGACCTGGACCGGCGAGAACGAGCCCGCGGCCAAGATGGCAAACCCCCTTGCAGACAAGGAGGCCACCCTGTTCGACTTGCCCAATCTTGCCTTTATGGGCACCAGCGTCATCTCCGGCAACGGGCTCGCCCTCGTGCTTCGAACGGGAGGAGGTGAGTGGCCGGCGCCAAGACCACATGTCACCGGCTGTACCTTGGTTAACCCTTTTTAGATGTCCTCATCGCGAGCATGGCCAATGAGCTCAGGAAGAGGCGCGAGCGGAATGCCTTTGAAAAGGGCATCCGCAACGTCAGTTGGATGCTCATCGGCTTCATGTGTTTCATGGTTCCCATCGTGAGTTGACCCCGAGACCCTCCCCTTTACCTCGTCCATAACCAAGACTGCTGACTCGTTCGTCTGCTAGGTCCTCGTCATCTCCGGCAAGAAGACCGGTGACTGGAACGCGGCCGCCCTCTTCAGCATCAGCGTTGCTGTCGGTCTTGTCCCCGAAATGCTCCCCGCAATAGTCAACGCCAACCTCGCCCGCGGCGCCTACACCCTCTCCAAGAAGAAGGCCATTGTCAAACGCCTCGACTCGGTGCAAAATCTTGGCGCCATGTCCTTTCTCTGCAGCGACAAGGTCAGCGTGATCCTCGACCACGACCCCAACCCCGTTTAATACGTCAGGCCCGAAAGAGAGTTCGTACTGACCTGTCTCCTCGCAGACGGGCACCCTCACCAAGGATGAGATTACCCTTAGCCAGTACCTCGACTATGCCGGCGTCGAAAACATGGCCGTGCTCAAGCTGGCGACCGTCGACGCCCACGTCCAGGGCGCCAATGGCAACAACATCGACCTGGCCATTCTCAACCACCGTCTCGCGGAGGGCAAGACTGTGAGCGTCGCGCAATACGAAAAGGTCGCCGCCATCCCCTTTACTTTTGAGCGGCGCCGCTCCTCGTGCATCGTCCGCGGCGCGACCGGTCAGAACCTGCTCATTTGCAAGGGCGCCTTTGACGAGGTGCTCGAGCTGTGCACGTCGGTCCGCCAGGGAGGCGTCGCGGTGCCGCTGGACGCGGAAAAGAAGAGAGTGCTGATGGAGCTGTCGGGCGCGCTCAACAAGGACGGGTACCGTGTGCTGCTGATTGCCGAGAAGAAGCTGTCCAATGTGAACCTGGACGACGAGGATGGCCTGGGCGCGCTCGAGACACGCATGACGCTCGAGGGCGTGCTCAGCTTCATCGACCCGCCCAAGGAGGACGCGGCCGTGTCGATTGTGCAGCTCAAGGCGCTGGGCGTGCAGGTCAAGGTGCTGACGGGCGACAGCCTGCCGGTGGCGCTCAACGTGTGTCAGTCGCTGGGGCTGGTGGGCGCCGACGACGAGACCGACGATGACGTGCAGGCCGTGACGGGCCCACAGCTGGCGCAGGTCGAGGACACGCCCGAGTTTGACGCTACGGTCAAGGCGTGCACCGTGTTTGCCAAGCTGACGCCGCAGCAAAAGGCCCTCGTCGTCGGCAGCCTGCGCAGCGCCGGGCACTGCGTGGGCATGCTGGGCGACGGCATCAACGACTGCATGGCCCTGAGAAAGGCCGACGTGGGCATCTCGGTGGACTCGGGCGCCAGCGTCGCCAAGGACTGCGCGGACCTCATTCTGACGGAAAAGGGGCTCGGCATCATCGTGGCCAGCGTCAAGACGGGGCGCATCACGCACGGCAACACGATCAAGTACATCAAGGTAGGCCTGGTGCCATAGACGAGCAGCGCGAGCTGTTGACTGACGTGCGTGGCAGATGGTGGCGTCGTCCAACTTTGGTAACGTATTCAGCGTCTTGGCCGCAAGTGCCTGGGTGCCCTTTCAACCGGTAGGTCGAGCTTGTTGGGCGAGGCATGAAAGGATGGGCCAGCTAACAGGTTCACAGATGCTGGGCCTGCAACTGCTCGCGCAGAACCTGCTCTACGACATTAGCCAGATTGCCATTCCGTGGGATCGCGTCGACCCCGAGTACATGCAGACACCCAAGTCGTGGAACACGCTGGACCTGCTGCGCTTCGTCATTGTCCTGGGCCCGACGAGCTCTGTCATCGACATCCTGACGTTTGCGCTGGGCTGGTTCTACTACGGCGTGCAGTCGGAGGCCAACACCGAGGGCGTCGAGATGTTCCGGGCGCACTGGTTCCTGCAGGGGTGAGTTTGGTTCTCGTCGGTGGGTGATATATCGTCGGCTGACGGTGATGCTGTAGGCTCCTCACGCAGACGCTCATTGTCCATTTGCTGCGGACGGCCAAGATACCCTTCATCCAGAGCCGGTGCACGGTGCCGCTGGCGCTATCGACGGCGACGATTATGCTGGTCGGCTTCTCCATCCCGTGGATCCCGCCGTTCCGGGCGGCACTTGGGTTCGCGCAGCCTGCGCCGTCGTACGTGGGCCTGCTGGCAGCGGAGCTGATGCTGTACTGCCTCGAGGTGCAGCTTGTCAAGATGGTTTACATACGCGTCTTCAAGACGTGGCTGTAGAGGCCCGCTGGCGATTCCAAGGTGCGCGCTGCGTGCGCGAGGCTAATAGATGGGGGGTGAAGTGGTGGTGGCCGTAGATTCGGGGGGGTCACTTGTCTTGTGTATCGCTGACCCCGGGCCATTTAGTGGGTTTAAGAGGAGATGAGGATTCAACAGCTGCCATTGGTCAACGCTAGCTACTTCAACAGCGGTTAGAAAAGTTATAAGCGTGCAACGTTGATGCCGTCTGTCCATGATGTAGAGTCGTCATGTCGCGGAAGGGCGAGAGAATGCGATGGACGGGTATGTTCGGGTGGCTTGTAGAAATGTATCCTGCTGCCAAATCAGGACATGCTCGGTAATCCTGCCGGTTGTGCATGGAAAAGAGGACGGAGTTGTGATGCGGAAAGTTCGGCCACTTGTGAGGCGGGAGGTTGGAAAAGCGGGGGTGGGGGTAAGTGGGGAAGGGAAATGATCTCATAAGCACGTGAAATGGTGTGCGTGGATGAGTAATCCATTTGCGGTGCTGTAAAAGCCAGTCCGCCCGTCGCATCGATTGTTGGCGCACCATGCATGGGGCTTTGGATGGATAAAAAGATCCGACAGGGCCAGGAGTCCCTTTCCTTCATCGAATGAGTCCAATCAGCGCATTCTTTTGCCATGGCGTCGTCGCCATCTTCAACAGTCCTGAGGGCTGCGCTGAGACCCATTACGTCATCGCCGAGACCGCCGACTTCACTTGGACGGACCGCAGCAGCAGCAGCAGCAGCAGCAGCAGTAGCGCCTCGCAGGAACCATGAGATCGGCGTCGCCCTGCGGCACGGGCCTGGATCCCGGGCCCTGCTTCACTCACCCGCCGCCCGCCGCTCCGGGGCCACGGCCGCCGCTCCGTCGTCGAACCCGGCCATGGCCTTTCCCTGCCTCGACAAGCTCGAGACTCGCTCCGAGACGCTCAAAGAAGCCGCCGCCGCCGCCCTGTCGTCGCCGAGGTCGAGGTTAAGGAACAGCAGCCACCCCGAGGAGCCGTCGTACACGTCGGGCGCTACCCTCGTCCACCACTGCCGCGAGCCCCTCGCCCTCGACTGGGGCGGCGTGCTGCCCGACTTCACCATCGCCTACGAGACCTGGGGCCGCCTCAACGCCGACCGCTCCAACGCCATCCTGCTGCACACGGGCCTGTCTGCTTCCTCCCACGCCCGCTCCACCGACGCAAACCCGCAGCCCGGCTGGTGGGAGCGCTTCATCGGGCCCGGCCGGCCCCTCGACACGGACCGCTTCCACATCATCTGCACAAACGTCGTCGGCGGCTGCTACGGCTCCACCGGGCCCGGCAGCATCGACCCGGCAAACGGCGAGCGCTATGCCACCCGCTTCCCCATCCTCACTGTCGAGGACATGGTCCGCGCCCAGTTCCGCCTGCTTGACGGCCTCGGCATCCGTCGCCTGTACGCCAGCGTCGGCGCCTCCATGGGCGGCATGCAGTCCCTCGCCGCCGGCGTCCTCTTCCCCGACCGCGTTGCTCGCGTCGCCTCCATCAGCGGCTGCGCCCGGAGCCACCCCTACAGCATCGCCATGCGCCACACCCAGCGCCAGGTGCTCATGATGGACCCCAACTGGAACCGCGGCTTCTACTACGACGACGTCCCTCCCCACGCCGGCATGAAGCTCGCCCGCGAGATTGCAACCGTCACCTACCGCTCCGGCCCGGAATGGGAGCAGCGCTTCGCCCGCCGCCGCGCGGACCCCCGCCAACCCCCGGCCCTGTGCCCGGACTTTCTCGTCGAGACGTACCTCGATCACGCCGGCGAGAAGTGGTGTCTCGAGTACGACCCCAACAGCCTGCTCTACGTCAGCAAGGCCATGGACCTCTTTGACCTCGGCCGCGAGAACCAGCTCGCCGCCGCACACCGCCGCGCCCACCGCGACACGGACCTGCGTTCCGGCGCATGCCTCCCCGGCGACGCCCGGTGCGGCCTCACCCTGCCCGACTTTCCCTACGAGGAGCAACCCGAGACCCAGCCCGACGCCTCTGCCGCCTTGGGAGGGCAGCAGCCGCAGCAGGAACAATCCCTCGACAACGGCGCCTCCCGCCCGCCCACTGACCTGGTCCTCGGCCTCGCGCCCCTGCGCGACACACCGACGCTCGTCATGGGCGTCGCCAGCGACATTCTCTTCCCCGCGTGGCAGCAGCGCGAAGTTGCGGAGTCGCTGCGTCTTGCCGGCAGCAGCAGTGTCACCTACACGGAGCTGAGCGAGGAGCAGAGTCTCTTTGGCCACGACACCTTTCTGCTCGACCTGGAGAATGTGGGGGGGAACCTGCGCAAGTTCCTGGGCTGAATGAGGTGTGCAGAGCCTGAACACACTCGACGAATCATTCGACGATGGAAGAGGAAGCCGAGTTGTCTTTTGATGCAGAGACGCTGTTTAAAGTGCGGGCTCGGTAGGTCTGCTTCAGCCGCCCAGTGACTATGCAGACTCGGGGACTGAGAGCGCTTGACCGGCCCAAAATGCACAGACAGCATGGTGAGTCTCGGGTGCGTGGTACACTGGCGTCGACAATGCAGATGACGTTCGAAGCGTCTCTAGCAAGTCCACGCCTGGGCCAAGCCTGGAGGCGCGCTGAGGCTGTTGATGGAGACTGGAGGCCAAGGAGGATGAATGGGCACGGAGAAAGGAGGGGATTCGTGCATGTCTTCGCGCGGAGATGCCCACTATCGCCAGGGCCAAAGGCAACGAGCGAGCAGGTCTTGTCACGGGTCGAGGACCATAGGTGCACGCAAGGAGTCGTGCAGCAAGTTGCGATGGTTGCACTGGCGAATAGATTTGCGAGGAGAAGATGTACCAGTTGAGCGTGCAAATGCTTGAATGTTCGAGTTGAAATTGCCGGACGACTTGCCGTGGAGGGAACCATGCATAATATGCCACCATGGTGTCCACATGATACGGTTCATCACGCCTACAAACGTCGGCTGAGGGGGAATCGAAACGGCTTAGCAACGGCCGCTGAGGGGGGGACGAAAGCAATGGACAATTCCCATGATAAGCCTCGGCTTATTTCGTGTCAGTCGTCTACTGAGTGGTCTGCGTGTATCGAACAATCATACACCGGGCAACTCTCTTTCCTTGCGGGGCGCCTGAAGTCTTGACTCTGTTCTTGGCCATTGCTGGCTGACCTGCAAAGCTACGCAGCTGCTCTTCCTCGAGCGCATAGGGAATTAAAGCCACTTGGTTTGTACACGCGTTATCCCGCTCATTTACATGTATGAAGAAGCAGGCTTGCATTCTAAGCTTCCTCTCAACCGGGATGGTCGACGAGCCGGTTCCTCGAGGCAGATGGCCGTGCCCGATCTTGCATCGTCTTGCTCCGCATGTGCTGTGTCGTCCTGTCCCTCTGGTACCTGGGCTGCCTGCTTACCCTCGAGGGGAGAAGCAGCTACGTGACTGAATTTTCTGGCTCAGTATGGCCCGCATGTTATGGTACTACTGATGGGATGCCGGGCGCCTCGCCGCTGTGCACCGCAGTCGAGGCGGCTCGACTCGGGGTAGGGCATCATTGCTCATTGCAGGGTCTATGTTTCCTGTCCAGGCACTGGCCACAACTTTGCCAAGCATGCGGCTCTTGTCCATGCCATCGCAGGTCATCGCACCACGAGGGTAAAGCCCTGCGTCCGCGCGGTTGCGCCGCTTCCAGCGAGGGGAACGTGCGGTCGAAAAGAGACTCCATGGCCGGGAGCGCGCGCGGCGGAAACAGCGGCGTGAATGGCTTCGGAGTGGGCAGAGTCGTTGACGGCGGAGGATTCTGCTGGCGCCACGAGTGCCTCGGCCAGCCACGCTGCTCCACCTTCGTGCCCGGTCGCCAGTCAGCAATAGCAGTCACATCATTCATCAGGCATAAACCTTGCAAGTCGACATCATCATTATTTGCCCTTCAACTCACATCGCCAGCTCGGCTCGCATCCGCTCATCCCCCATCTCTCGTCCAGTTCAAGATGGCGCGCGTGCAAAGTCCTCCGAGGGTTCTCGACCGCCTACTCACCCAAACTGTCCAAAAACAAGAGGGTATAAGATTCCAAAGTCCCATCAAGGCCGCCCCCGGGGCAGCCCAGGTCACCTTTTCCAACGTGCGTGCAGCAGACGTAGCTGCACAAACTGTAAGACCAAAGAAAAAGACAAACAGAGGCATCAACGCGCATCGGCGGGACATATGAGGGCCGGCGCCGTCTTCTCAGGTATCGTAAGAGAAACAGGGCATAACAGGACAGGGACAGGGAGCAAACACATGGCCTCGCCATTCGATGCCTCAGATAAAGCCCGCCGCAGCCGCCCCCTCAGTCCGCGACCGCAGGGGAAGCGCCCCCACGCGGTCCGACAACGATGGCGGCAGCGTGACGGGCACCTCCGGCCGCGGAGGCGCCTTCTTGGCCTCGACGCGCGTGGGACTGCCGCCGCAAGAGCCGAGGCCGGAGCTGGCGCTCGGGATGCGATCCAGCGGCGACCCTAAGCCGCTGCCCAGCGACTCCGCCAGGGCCAGCTCAAACGACCTGGCCAGGTCCAGGCTCGAGCCTGAGATGGACGTGGTCAGCGACGGGAACGTCGGGCTGGGGAGGCGTGGCGCGGCAGTCGAAGGAGTCGACGAGGCAGTCGACCGGGCCGGGGACCGCGTCAGGGTGGACAGGGGAGGCGGCACAGCCGAGTGGCGGTGAGAGGCGTTATCGAAAGATGGCCATGCAGGAAGAATGGGGCCAGTGTCTTCGTCGTCGGTCTCGTGGCCCTCTTCGTTGTCACTTTCCTCCTCGCCGTCGCTAGAGCCAGAGAGCGGCATCACGGGCGGTTCGAGCAGACGACCGCGGGGAAGGCCGCCTTTGGACTTGGGAAAGTCGCCCGCCATTGGCCGTCGTCCAAGAGGGCTCACAGGCGGGAGGTCTGAAGGCCGACGCGGGAGCTCCAGGTCCGCGTTCCGGACGTAGTTGCCCTCTCCTTCGGCAGAGGGTCCATAGGGACTCGGCAGACTCGGCTTGACCTGGTCCATCGACAGCAGTGGCGGCATGGGACCGAGTGCTTGCGGGGGAGGCGCTCTCGGCAAGCGGTGCTTGGAGTCGATCCGTGCCGGGAAACTCTGGCCCGGGACGGCTGCACCGCCAGACCCAAGTTTGGGATCGCTCTCTACCGACGACGCCAGAGAAGCGCCGCCAAACTCGGATTCTTCGCATATGGTGCTCGGCGGCTGAGGAAAGGGAGCCGTCGCCGTCGTCGGCCGCATCCCCGACAGAGACGGCGCCGAGGCGTGGCATGGCAGCCGTGCCTTGGGATTTTCGGGCTGCCGAAGCCACTGGTCCACCTTGGACTGGGCGCCGTTGTGAGTCTCGCATCGGGCGCTGTCGGGCGACTCGCCGGGCCTCGACACGGTAGCGCCAAAGTCAAAGTCGGCAAAGTTGCCGCTGAAGCCCTCGACGTGCTGCTTCTTCTTGATCGTCGGCTGGTCGTCATAGTCAAGCTTAAAGGTCCGCCGGCGCTGCAGGCCCAGGGCGAGCGGGTCGGGGCCGTCCCTGGTGCAGGGAGGGGACGGGGCCGGGCTCGGGGGACAGGCACCGATGGCGGCCGTGTCGACGTTGCGGAGGGCGCTCGGCGCGTTGCATCGGCTGCTGGGGCGGCTGTCGGGGCTGACGCGGCCAATCGACGGGTGATATGGAAAGTAGGATCTCTCCGAGACGCCGTCCGACTGTGGAGGCGACGGGTATCCACTCGCGCCGACGCCGTCGTCTGCCTTTGACTTGGAGGCGCCAAGGGGCTCGTCCATGAGCGCCTCCATGTTCAAGTCAAGCTTGCCAAAGGGCGGGAGTCGGCAAGGGAGAGCAGCCTTGGTCGCCGGTGCGGCGCCAGGACGAACGCTGGAGGCGTCTCGGCAGAGATTGGCATCAACAGGATTCACCCAGTCCGACTTTGACGCGTCGGGTGCCGTCGAAGATCCGGGGCGCACGCCGCTCCCCCCCGGGGTGGTCAGGCCGGCGGTGCAGTCTTGGGCGGCGCGGTGGGAGCGCAGGCTCACCTCGGAAGCGTTGTGGCGCAGGTTGCTCATGACGGGGGGCTTCAGATCCGTCATGGACGTGGCGGCCCCAGGGTTGCCGAAGACGGCACGCCAGGTGCGAGCTGCCGGGGCCGTGGTGCCAGCGCAAGCGGTGCCGGGTCGGAGAGAAGCGGGGACGGCGAGCGAGGGGCGGGAGAAGTTGTGGCCAAAGTACTGGTCTTTGCCGAGTGTGTTCTGGTCGATGCGATCCCATTTTTTCTGCTGCTGCTGCTGCTGCTGCTGCTTGTCCTGAGCCTTTCTGTCGTACACGTCAGTCGAGTTCAGTGGGTGGGAGTCGAGGGGCGCCGTACTGAGACTTTTTCCTATCGCCACGAAATTTGAGGCCAAAGAAGGAGACCATGGCGGGCAACAGAGGGAAGAGGATTAGATATTACGATTGCCGATTAGGCGAGCCCAAGATAACAATGCCGGCCGAAGAGGCAACGGCGAGCCTCGATGTGATACAGAGGCGTCGGGAGGAGTGGTTGAACAGCCGGCAGCGAGTGTGAGGATGGATGACGCCGAGAGCGAGCGTCGAAAGCGAACGACGAGGAGATGGATAGCGAAAGAAAGTGTTTGCGAGAGAAGGAGAGCGTATTATCGCCATACGCCGTCGAAGCGACCCAGCCAGCCGAGGGTGACCATTCCAGGCGTCGACGGAGCAGCAGCTGGTGCGGTTGCCACAGCAGAAGCTTTGGCGGATAGGATTGGGGGCAAGGCGAGACAGTTCCTTTATCGGTTGATGGCCACGATGGCGCTGTTCGTCAGTCGTCGGTCGTCGAGGAAACGGGCGTGCGACGGTGAGACGTCGAGAGGAATGGGGATTTGTGCCCGGCGCTACGTCACGGTCGGCGAGATCAGGAGCGGGAAAAAAGGAGCGTCGTGTGGCTCGTTGGGCCCCGGGCAAGAGAGGATCGAGGACGGAGGGCTGAGGTTGTTTGGGAGATTGTTTGGTGAGGCGATTTGGAGCAGCAAGCAACAGGGATCGTCGTGGACGGACCAGGCGGCCCTGGCAGATATAACACACTGACAGGCGCCGCGGTACGGAGTACGGATGGTAGCTTGGGGTTGGAGGGAGGAGTTGGAGGGCGGCAGCAGCACGTGTGTCTTGCTGGAGGTCTCATTTCGCTCTCTCGCATCCTCGCACCCCATCGTCCACTTGCTGCCTACCGACACGGTGCTCCAAGCCTGTACCCGGTGCAAAGGGAGGACAAGCACCGAGAGGGAGGCAGCGGCTTTGGAATAATAAAATGGAAATAGAAAAGGGGGTGTACCGGCGGTGCAGTTGGTTGGCCGATGCGGATCATCTTCCTTTCCCCAGATTAATCTCCCCAATGCACTAATGGAGAAAGGAGATGACCAGAAAAGCACTGGCTGCAGCAGACATGCAGTAGCTTGTGCGTCTTGTCGTCGAAAAGAGGCCTTGCTTCTGCCACCGGCGTTTCCCAGAGCAAGGCGGCGAGAGTAGAGGAGACGAAGAAAGAAGAAAAGAAAAACCCACACACACACACACACACACACACACACATGGCCAAGAAAGGGCAGAGACAGAAGGGCAATCAAACAAGGGTCTCGCTGCACCCCGTCCATTCCCAAAGAAAGACGCTCCTTTTTCTCTCGGCCGCCGGCTCGTGTTTGCCCCTGCATGTGCCTTTTTTTTCTTGGCGGCCGAGGACGAGCAAACGGCGCTGGCCATGCATTCCGGCACTTGCGCCCTCTGTAATACCCCCCCTAGACGCCGCTCAGTCAATGCTTCCTACAGCACCTGGCCCCTGCTGGAATGCCGCCGAGAGCAACAAACGTCCCTGCATGCATCGCCATCCCGCCCCCTGTGCTTCGCCAGCCGTCATTCTGCGCAACACGGCAAGGCGCATACAAGACGCACGTTGAAGCCGAGAAGCAGCAAACTGCTCCCAGCGACTCCATGAAGCGCAGGCTCCCGCTCAACGCCACACCCAAGAAAGCAACCCAAGAAAGCAGCCCCAGACCACGCCCTGCCGAGCGGCAAAGAGGGCCTCCCTCGAGCAGCGCCCCAGGCGACCCAGAATCCATTTCGACTCCATCGAATACGTGGCACTGGGCACTATTTCCCGTCAAGCCCCTCCCCTCCATCAGCTGCCAGTCCGACTCTAGCCGAAGCTCTCGCCATGCTGCCGGCGCTGCCCTCGGCACGTTCTTGTCGCTGCCACTTTTCACGCGGCGCAGCCAGTTGGCCACCCACGCACTTGTTTGTCCAGCTTCACTGTCCAGCTGGCCCGCACCGACGTAGCCTCTCGGCATTGGGGGTATATAGAAATCGTACAAGCCAAGAGATGACCCCAAAACACCCAGCCTTCCAGTGCCAACTGCCCAGCTCCTGTAGACGCATGCCTCGGCTCTGCTGCCCCTCGTATCCAGTGCGCCCGTTGCAGCCTAGCCTGTGACGAGACAGCCTCTCGCAGGTAATACCCTACAGCTGCTGGAGCAGCTTCTGCCTCCGCCTCTCCAGCAACTCCTCCTGCACCTCCTCCATCGTGGGCAGCACCCACACCTCGCCATCCCCACCCTCGCCCGGCAGTGCCTCCCAGCCCTCGGGCGGCGCCTGGTCGCCCGTCTTGAGCAAGTTCTCAGCCGCCTGCCGCTCCTTTTCCGCCTCGTACCGCAGCAGCTCCTCCGTCTCCTCGTCGGGCCCCCAGCCGTAGTAGGCCGCGTCCACGGCCCTCCGCAGCGCCCTGTCCTCGCCCGCCGCCGACGCCTTGTCGTCCTTGCCCGGGCCCTTGGACGCCGCCTCAAACAGCTCCTTGACGCCCGGCAGCTCCTTGGCCCGGCCAAAGTAGCGGTAGCCCTTGCCGCCGCCGGGCACCTCCCTGCCCTGCTCATCGTAGACCCTGGCGCCGCCGCGCATGTAGTTTGGCCCGCCGAGGTTGCGCACCTGCACCTCCCACATGTGCTTCTCGCGCATGAGCTTGTTGATCTCGTCGTTGAGGTCGCGGATCTGGTAGTCGCTCAGGATGGGCTCCTGGATGCGCGACACCTTGCGCGAGATTTCCCGCAGCACCTGGCCGCGCCATTTCTCGCACGCGGGGATCGAGTCCACCTCGGTGATAAGCTTGGGGCGGCGCGTGCGGCCGGCGTCGATGATGCCCAAGTCTGCAGCCTGTGCCTCGCGGAAGCGAAACAGCATCGACTGGGCCTTCTCCGAGTTACGAGCCTATTTACATGCGGACCAGGGTGAGCATGGGAAGGGTCTACGGGGATGTAGAGGCATGTGCAGGGCGGGGAGAGTACGCACCATCTTGGAGGCCGCGGCGGGACAGGTTGCCTTGGGCACTGCACAGAGTCTGTGTCCTGGCGCTGCAGGTGCGTAGAGTCTTTCCCTGGTGGCTGCTGGTGTGTAAAGTCGCGTGCCGCTGAACAGCTGCTCGGCCAGCCAGCCGGCAAGCAGATTGGCGGGCGTGGGGGGTTGGTGCAGCGTGTGTCGAGACGGCCTCGTGCCCGCTGTTGCAGTCGATGAAGTCTGCCAGCCAGCCAGCCAGCCAGCCTCGTGACAGGCGGCTGAATAAAGCTTCGCTACCTACGTACCTAGGTACCGTACTGTAGCTAGGTACGTAGGTACCTACCTAGCCAGGCACCGAGAAATAACTGGGCCGCCCATCTCCCGCAAAACTTGGCAGCCGTCAGCCTTACATGTGCCCCACTTTACTGATCTGATCTGTACAGCTGCAGACTTGGCTTCGTGATTCAGTCAACCTCTCCTCAACACCACGGCCGTTCGCACCTCAATAGCTATTCAGCCCCCCACCCGGTGACGCGCTTCATCTCAATTCTGCCGCCGCTGCCCGCCCAGGCGACCCAATCACGGTCCATTGCCTCTGTCAATCACGCCTGCGCCCGCACATGATTGGCGGCAGCCGGCGGCCGAATTGCTCTGCGCTCACCTCGCTCGAGTGAGTGACGCAATTGAAGCCTCGATGCCTGAGGCGATGCGGGTGATTGCGAGGCTGCCTGAGGCATTGCGAGCTCTGGTTCACGCCTATAAATACCACTTCTGGCCCCCAACTTCTTCCTTTCTTCTCTTCTTCATCGACATCATCACCAACATCCAAAGGTAACAGTCACAACAACCTTTCATCCTTCCCTTCCTGCCCTGCCCCACTCTTCTCTCTTCACTTGTTTACACAGCTGACACTTGCAGGTCACCGCCACCTTTTGGTCCGACAACCTCGACGACCCTCCTCCACCGACGCCGCTCGACGACCACTCCCCTCCACCGACGCCGCTCGACGACCACTTCCCTCCACCGACGCCGCTCGACGACCACCCTCCTCCACCGATCCCTCTCGACGACCATCGACAATTCGGACCGGGACCTAAGGGGTGACGACCGGATGTCCTCACATGCCCACTACCATTAACCCGAAGTGATGATAAAACTCTGAAAGAGGGAGACAGATCCCAGGTTCACCCGGGGGCCTGCTCTGTCAGGCTTCGGCCATGACCAAGAGAACAGATATCTGATCGGACAATTTTCCCCCTTTCCTTTTGTCTCTCCCACCCCTTCCTCCACCACCCCAAGTCCTGATTTCCTTCAGTCCTGGTTTTGCTTTTCAGTGTCTTTGCATCTCTGCCGCTTTCCTTTCTCCATGCTCACGCAGCCGCAATGAATGACAAAATTTTGTACACATGCCTGATGAGGGTGACTATGGCCTTTGCATGACGGAACTCCATGTAGTTTTCAATCTGAGCAGGCTGAGCTTGGCGGTTGGGGGGCAGCGGCTGTGGCGGGGAGACTCGTCTGATTTGGAGAAGTGGAAGCCGATGACACGGGGAGGATAACTTGGGGGGAGGTGGAGTGTGAGGGGGGAAGAGAGAATTGGGACGGGGGATACAGCTGATGGACCCGGTGATGACCAAGGTCCAAAAAGCCAAATTTGCAGGCAGCAGCAGACCTTTGTCGTCCGCGAGTTGTCAGTGAGAACACAAGAGAGCTAATCTGAGGGTCCATCATTCTTTCTCAATTCATTCTTGTGCCTGTGCTTGTGCCTGTCTTTTCCTGTCTGGCCTGTCTCGTCTATAGTCTCTTCATTCTGCTGTCTACAAGAAAACTGTTTCTGCAGTCCCATGGCGAGAGGAAGCGGGACGGAGACAGTCACGACCGGGCGTAGAATCCTGTGCTTTGTGTTTCTCATGCTCCGCGCACGGGTGCTTCTTCGGTACTGTTGCTCTAGTTTCCAACGCACCCCCAACGCTTCGGCGCAAGGTCTGTAGTGGCCCCCTTGCTGTACCGGAAGGGGAGAGGGAGAAAGAGAAGCGAAAAGGGATCCCTCTGATCCAGCAGCAGCATCATGCCCTCCTGCATCTCGAGTGCTCCACGCAACACCCATTTCTGGCCGCGGTGTCTCGGTGTTTTCAAAGATACGCGCCACCAGCTCTCAAGCTGCAACGGCTAGTAATCTATATGGAAGACGAGAGAGAGACAAGGGGAGAGGGGGAGAGAAGAATCACCAGCGCAAGCAACGGCATCGTGCCCTCCATTCCCATGTTTCTGGCGCCATGCCCTTCTCTGATCGTGGGGTCGGTGTTTTCAAACAAGCACTTAAGCTCTCCAGAAACATGTACGGGAAGCCAATATCAACGGCGAGAGGTAGATAAAGAGAGCTGCCGGCCAGAGAGCAGCGTTGTGCCCTTGGCTTCCCGCGTGTCCCACGCAACGCTCTTTTCTGTGTTTGGTGTTGGTGTTTTCAAGCAAGCACCCCGATTCTGTAACCCAAGGTCAAGAAAAAAACCCATTCAAGCCACTACGAGGGGGAGGGAGACATTGCGAAGAGAGAGAGGAAGGGCCAGGGAAGGGCGAGGAAAGAGAAATAGAAAAGATGTCGTTGCGAAAGCGTCTCTATTTCATCCGTTCATCGCCATGTTCCTGCTGCCTCTAGTCTTTTTTTACACGTAGCAACGGATTCCCATGCCTTGCCCGTGCTACCGCCAGCCATCATACACACAAGCACGCACAAAAAAACGCACACGTCCTCAGGCCTTCTTGCCTCCCTTGGCGGCCGGCTTGCTGTACATCCAGATGGCGCAAAATCCCACAAACCCCGACACCGTGGCCGCAATGCCCGAAAGCCAGGGCCAGGCGCCCGAGATGACGAAGCTGCGCGGCCACTCGTCGTGCGCCATGTGCCGCACGCTCACAGTGCGCTTCTCCTCGACGTGCGTGACCAGGGGCCTCTTGTAGTCGACCATGAAGTTGAAGATGCCGTGCTGGTCGGGCAGCGTAAAGTCCTGGCCAAAGACGGTCGCCGTCTCCGTCACCAGCGTCGGCACCAGGTCGAGTCGGTGGAAGGGGGACAGCATGGAGAACTCGAGCTGGATCCTGTCGCCCCCAGGCAGGGCGAAGGGGATCCACTTGTCCCACGAGTACTCAGAGATGGAGATGCTGTAGGACTGCGGGCAGGGTCAGCGGCAGTGAGGGTGAAAAGGGGAAATCTAAAGTGCCAACTCACCACATCATTCTTGACGCGGTAGATGGTGGGGTTGGTCTCGTTGTGCCCCCGCAGGCGGTGCTCAATCGAGTTGACGCGCAAGACGCCCGTCTCTTGAAAGGCCCAGCCTGTCAGGCGCTTGGCAAACTCGCGGTTCGCGGCCTTGCTCTTTGTGGCGCCGACGCGCGCAACCTTGGCATCCATCCACGCGTCCTGCAGCATCTCGGCCGAGCCCAGGATGGCAACGCGGGCCGAGTTTTGCGACTGCACGGCCGAGGCGAGATGGAGCTGCTGGCCGGCGGCGAAGAGCTCGTCCGGGTCGACGGCCGCAAAGTGCTCCTTGGGGTTGTAGGAGTAGGCGGTCGAGGGGGCGCGCAGCAGGGGCGTCAGCAGTTTGCTCTGGCCCAGGATGTGGCCGGATGCGCGGGGCAGGGCCAAGACAGCGCCGGGCATGGCGAAGAAGCCTTTGACAGCCGGGCGCAGGGTGGTCGGGGCGTCGAGGACGAGCACGTCATGGGCCTCGGCAGCGGACTCGGTGTCGTAGTTGAAGTGGTCAACGACGGTACCGGTGCGCTCGGCGGGCAGGAACACGTCGAGCTCGGAGAGCAGCTGAGTGATGGAGGTGGAGGCGGGCGTCGTCGACGACATGGCCACGAGGATGTTGCCGCCGGCCTTGACAAAGTTGAGGAGATGGCCGGGCGTCAGGTTGGGTCCGAGACCTAGGAGGAAGTCAGCGCTGGGGCCTCGTTCAAGGGGGAGAGAGGGCTTCTTACCCTTGACCTTTGTGGGAAAGAAGATGAGGTGGTCGTAGTTGCGTTCTCCCACATGGAACAGCTGCAGCCCCTCGCTGCGAGGCGTCTCATATGAGAGGGCGAAGCCTCGCGCTGCGGATGGGATGCCAATTAGCGACAATCCAGATCATCATGCCAAGGCCATCAAGCAGGCCAAGCGCTCACTCTTGAGGTCGCCGAGGAACTGCGAGTAGGCATCCCGGTCGGCGACGTTGTCCAGCACAGCCAGCAAGCGATTGCCCGCGGTGCTCAGCGCCGCCGCCGCTGCCGCAAAGAGCAGTACAACCAGGCTGATGAACGACCGCATCGTGGAGCTCCGTACGCGGTTATCTCGGAGAGAGGCGCGGTTGTCGATGGGAGATGGCGTGGGACGTTGACGCCAGCTTCAGCAGAGAGAGGGAGGGAGAGAGTGGGAGAGCTTGAGGTCACCGATTCGGGCTACGTAGCCTCGCGCGAGGTGGTGGGCACGTACTCGTACTGTATCCGTACTGTAGGCAGGTACGCCGCTGAAGCTGAGTCAGCAAGAGCGGAGAGCCGGGTGTACGGGTATTGGGCATAGGGTAAGTTGGCTGCAACTGGGCAGCTCGATTGAGCACCCATAGAGCTGTCAATGACGCTAGCTATAACTAGGTAGTTTAGTGTTTCGTCTACTTTGTGAGTATTGACGAAAATCTAAACTCCATATCTTCGCCCGCCACCCCAACTTCATCCCCTCTTGTAGGCTCCTGAAAAGCCCTTTCAAGCTCATCGAAAATCGATATTCTGCCTGATCAACGTCTCAATCGGGAAAATCTGGTTGACAATCCACCCAAACGGCGTATAAGACCAGAAGCTATTCGCCGTCGCCGCAACGCCCTGCACCACGGGCGCCTGGTTGGCCGCCTCCTTCATCAGGCTCTCGTTGATCAGCCCCATTGGCGTAAAAGACCAGGCCTTGACCACCGGGTGAATGTCCCGGTTGGCAATCTCCATCTTCTCCTCGGCCGTCTGGGCCTTGCTGATCTCTCGAGCCACCGCCGGCAGGTTCTTGATGGCCTCTTCCCAGAACCCGGGCGGCGTCGCCAGCCGCGCCGACTGGAAAACGTCCGTGACAATGTTCAAGAGCGTCTCGGCCGCCGATCCCCATGAGCTGAAGTCTGTGTACCGCGTCTCCACCGCCTGCGAGAGGGCGCGCTTAAAGGCCAGCTCGTAGTCTTGCACCGAGATGCCGCCCTCCTTGATGGCCTCGATGAGCGGCTTGAACGCCTCAGGGCTGCTCTCCGAGATCCATAGCAAGAACCGGTTCTGGCTGATTTTGTTGCTAATCGTCTTGCCCTTGCCCGTCTTTTTCTTCCCGCCGTGCTCGTCTTCCTTTGCGCCTGGCTCGCCTTCTTTCTTCTTCCCCCGTTCCTCGTCCTCGACTCCGGCATCGGCCCCGGCATCGGGATTCCGAGTCAGTTCGCATAGTTCCCTCTTCTTACCCGAGCACGGAAGCTTCTTAAACCCATAGCTTCCGTTCGCCTTCCATTGGGGCTTTGCTTTGGGGTCCTTGCTGTCGAGCTCGTAGGCCCCGGAGATGGCCGAGGGAGGGATGGCACCAGCCACTGCAAACTCCCGGTTCCCCCGAACCGCCCCGTCTTTGGAGAAAACTTCCGGGAGATAGTACCCGTTCGGCACGTTATTCGGGGCAACGAGGTAGAGATAGCCCTTTTCCTTCTTTTCCCCGGTTCGACCAAATGCATAGGGCCTGGCCGAGGCGCTGGATCGCGACAGTGAGACGTAGCCCGAGCCCCCGCTCAAGCTCAGATGGCGCTGCAGGTCCATGTCTCTGCCCTGTGGCTGGAAGCCCGACTTGAATACCTCGTCAGGGGCCCGGGAGTCGCCGCGGAAGAAGACTCCAGACTCGGTAGTGCCCTTGTCTTTCTTGGTGGCGGCCTTTGAGGCGGGTATATCTTCGCGCTGACCATCTGGTTTGCCACGACGTCGGAGACGGTTCTCAGGCGCAGAAGAGCCAACGGCGCCCCGTGCCTCGAGAGCGGGTGAGTTGATGACACTTGAGGTCTCAGGAGCGGATGAGCTGACGGCAGTTGGAGTCTCCAGGGCCGATGAGTTGGGTGCATCCGGGTCGCCAACGAGCTCAAGAACGTTCAGGCCAATGGTATCTGGGACTATATCAAGAGTGCCGTCCCTGTCTCTCTCAAGGGCAATTTCCCCGCTCGCCCTCAAGACCAGAGGTGGCACAGCTGTCTTGTTGTCCGGAATGGGAGGCAGTTCAATGGGTACCACCGATTTTTCTTCTGGGACTTCGGTTGCAGTTTTTTCGATGGGTGCACCGGATGTTTCTTTTCCAGCGCCTGGTGGTACAGAAGCTTCATTCTGCGCGATAGGGGGCTGCTCAGACGGAGCAGGTGGTTGCTCGACGGTTGCGCTTTGAATGTCTTGTTGAATATTCAGAGTTGCCGCAAAGGAAAAGCCCGTGAATAAGGCTAATACCTTGGGAAGCTTCATGGGGCCGGGCTTTGTGATAAAAGAGAGTTGTAAAAGACCTTTTGGTCGTAGCAGGTTCAAAACGAGCGTGCAGCCAAGGACGTGCCGAAGATATCACGACAACTAAGGGAGACCAGATGGCATATTATATCACATGTACATGATAGAATTGTACCCGGCCTCGCAACAAAGCCCTTGACTCGACCTCATGGCGGCAATTGCATCATTTAATACCAGGTTACATCGTGGCCGCGTAATCGAGCAAGCTTCAAACGACTCATATCGTCGAGACTGTTCCTTCTCTGCTTCCCAAAGAAGGCACACTGATGACCACATCATTCATGCGAGAAGACTGGCTTCTGCCGGGCTGCACAAGACGTGCTTGTCTAATACCAGAAAGGGAATGGAGGCCTTCGACACAAGTTGGACTAGATCCCGGCGAGCTCCACCATTCTGTCTCAGACAGCCCTGTAATAGCTATCAATTTTTCAGCTGGGCGGTGCATGATTGTGTTGCTAAGATTTTTCTCTAGTGTAAAGCGTTTAGTATGGCGAAACGAGGCCCCAGGTTCTGGCCAAGGCCAGGAGGCAGAATCAAGCCGCCAATGGTCGGCCCCTCCGAAACATCCCGTCTCTGCGCGCGGTTGCTGCTCTACTCGGGGGCATTGATTCTTATATTATGATTTGTTCCGTTCGTAATGAATGTGCTGTAAGATATCACACGCTCTTGCAAGACCCATCTTCCTATTTCAATCAAACAGCACAAGGGTTCATTTGCCACAAGAGCGGCAGAGGTTCTGATAGAAGGTCATGCATTCCATCATCATCACCTGCGTTTCAAGCGGCAACTGGCATAGGTTTCTGTGTGGTCACTGTACCTATATAAGCCCCTCTCTTGTCCCAATAGATAGACCAAGAGATGCATTACTAAATTCACCTTTCTATGCCCCTATTTCTTCCACTGTGCTCTCAAGCCTCTATTTGAGAGTTTCCATTTGCCGATAACAGAACCTTGATACTCTATATGACGGCCCATTTCTTCTCGCATAATTTGGGATACCGATCCGTTTCCTCTAGGACATGGGCGGGGGTCGTCGTTGACGACGGGCGGCCCTAGACCCTGGGGCTGAGCACATCACCGGATGTCGGGGCCACATAAAATCACGTAATGGCCTGAGAGGTCCTGATTATCGAGTCGCAACTTGGGGAAACGGCCTTGGACGTGGATAGAGTGTGTTTGAGAAGTCACGGGCCATGGAAGTGGCGCTGTACGCCGTCGACAGAGCGAGCGTCGCCGCCCGAAGGCTTTTCGCTCTTTGAGAAAGAGTCCGTGGAGCCTGGGCCGTGCAACAGCCTTCTAATATCGGGCATTATGGGTAGCTGATGAGAGTGTATGGGCGACTATTCGAATGCACGAAGCGGGTTCCAAGTATCCCCAGGTCAAGAACATTAACTCCCCATGTCAAGAACATTGACCATCTTCACCCTCAACATTGGTGACTCGGTGCCTCGCAAGGTCAGCCCATTGAGCCACTGCAATGATTCAAATCACGGGAGTTCCCCATTCACTATGTAGCTTAAGTCCGAAACGTGCCGTTTAGTAACCGGATCGGGTAGAAGGTGCTGCAGCTTTCTACAATGAGGGGCAGCGGTAGGAGCAGTTGCCTCGACATAAGACGAGAAATAGAGTTTTAAACCCGACCTGTTATGTATATCTTAAAAATGTCCTATCTTATGTTCACTTATTATTTCCAAGGTAAAGCGAGATCTCAGTAGTCCCATTCTCTACTTCCCGGCGTTATCTTATGTCCCTGGATATGACCCACATCCCCAAGGGCAAGAATCCGTGTTTAATGCCCCTTGTGGCTAGTTGCTGCTAGTTCCGAAACAAAACCTCTTCGCCTCCCTAGACGGAGCAAATTCACAGGCCGTGCCACAGATTACAAACTTAAGGACGTCGTATTGGCCTGCCCGCTGGAGGTGGATACGATGCGTTCTGGCGATGCCGTGACACCGGCCATCTCAGCTGTCCAGCACAACGACATAGCCAACTAGCCACCACTCGACCATCCAGTGGCCACCACCTTGCCAGAGTCTAATGAAAACCCCTACAGAGCGGAAGGACGGTGCGGGCCCCTTCCGTCAGGTTGATTTTGAGGCAGAGCATGTAGGCAATGCTCACGAGCAAGAGACCGTGGGCGGCTAGCTGCTGCGTCCGGTGCGGGCGAATGGCTCTGCGCGAAAGCGTTTTGTGATCTCCATCATGGATCATAAGAGCTCCACATAGAGTCTCGTCATAAGTAAGCGGCACACTGGGATGACTTATTGAAGAGTTGACCAAGGAAGCGGCGTACCGATGGGTCTTGGCGATTTTGGGTCTCACCCTAGAAAGAAGACTTAGGCGTGGAACTGAATGCCGCACGCCTCTTCATAAACCACGGGCCCGGAGCGAAAAGCACAGTATTCCGGTCCATCCTTGCCGGGCACGGCGTTCATGTACAAAAGGTGGAGCGGGTCCGAAGGCTTCAGTCTCTTGGTAAAAATAGTGAACTTCCGATTATGATACTTGTAACTCACTGACGACGGACCTAACTCTCTTGGTGCGCCTAACTGATGAGGACGATGTCTGCTTCAGGTAGAGAAGCACCCGACCTGGCGCACCTTGCGGAGTCAGCGCTTCCATGTACGTTCGTGAATGACCTCGGGCTAGACAATGTTACTCCCACCGCTAACTTCGGAGACTGGCAGGAATCATTCAAGTCCTTTACACGTTCCAAAGCCTCCACAGTCTGGATTAAGCTACATTGAGTTGAATTGAATTGGCTGACATCAACTCGGTTGATAACCTGATGTTATCGGGATTCTTGCGTCAGTAACAGGCCAACTGGTTTAGAATGTACTCTATGTCTTGCATTGCAAGGCGGTGTCCTTCCACTATTTCCCCTGGCTTCAATTTTACCGGCAGCTTGCTTAGGCAGAAGAGGTGCTCAGGTAACGGCCTAAAAAAGGATTAGCATAAGGCTGTCTCCTCGGATAAGGCACATTTTAGCTACGGTGACGAGGTCAAGGCTCGGGTACTAAGAAGCCGAGCACGTGTAGCTGCTCGGATCATCTCTGAGAGCAGAAGACGCCGGAAGAGAAAGACATTAAGAGGCTCCACAAGAGCTCGTTAAATTTGTGTGAAGCTCCGGGCAATACCAATGGCAAGAAAAGTCAGTAAATCTATCTCGAGAAGATCGTAGAGGGATATATCGGGCCGGAGCTCCTCAAGGAAGGCTTCCCAACTCGTATCAGAAGAAGACGGAGACGGTAGCTACAGGCCGGGTAAGAGTATTATTCCCAATGTAAAATCGCAGATAGTGGCCATACTGGCCAGATGGCTACCAGGCGTCTTCAACTTGAGCGTGTGTTTGACCGTGTGCGTGTGACCGTGTGCGTGTGTGTACTGTTCCTCTCTTTTGACACCCAAATTCGTTATACCGTGGTGGCCAGTCAGCACGCGGCATCTACCGCCGGCGACAAAAAGCTCCTGCAGGCGACTCTTATTCTGGCAGTCATATTGTGCCTCGATTTGCAGATTAGCCGCGCGCTCATTCCTCACATGATGGCCCTGATAATTGCTGCCTAAATGTTCTCTCTTGCAATGCCTGATCATCTCGTTGTTATTGTAGCTGAGAACTGCTCATCCCTGGCAACAAGAGTTCGATCAAAAGATCACTGCGTTGAATGCTGCCAACAGGTCATCGAATATCGTAGCCATGCTCGGGCTGGATAACGTCGAGCTCGTTCTCGATGCCGACAAAGTCTAATAATGGAAAAGAGTCTTTGGCTTATTCGCCACCCAATCGCTTGTTCATGTGTTCACGTAGCCTCGCTGTAGAAACTGACCTGCCCAAGAGATCTATGCAAAAAGAGCACGTACATGTAGTATACAGTGTAGCCCAAGTCGTCCTCAATTAAAGCCGGCATCTCTGTCGGTTGGTGTTTCATGGGCTCCGACGAAATCTCCTGCGGAATAAAATGTGGGAAGCCCTGGCTGGGATAACCAAGATTTTGCTTGGGGGACTGCGATAGGTCTCGCCCATTCTGAAAGTTGGGCTCTGATTGCGTCGTCTTGCCCTTGCGCTTCCGCCCCAAGAGCCACCAGATGAGAGCGGCGGCAGCCAGAAGGGCAGCTGCTGCACCAACAGCAATTCCAGCGACGGCTCCAGGAGTTATGGAGGCCCCTGAACCGCCACCATTGGAACTGGAGCCTCGCTCCGGCTGGAGCGACGCAGTTGGCTGCCTGGCACAAACCTCTTTGGCTGTGGCTGGAAACACCTCGTTCTTGTCATTGACGGCGACCAGGTTCTCTTCGGACGTTGGGTTGGCCTCCCAGAGTGTGAACTGATTAGCGCCGCGGTTGGCCATGAGGTAGGCGCTGGTGAGGAAGTATCGGCCCAGAACCGGTATGTAGTTAGCTGTTGTGACTTGCAGCGAGTTGATGCGTATAGCAGGCCGCGAGTCGTTGACGGAGATCTCCCCTCCGGCCTCGATGCAGCGTTCAGGCACGATAAGCTGATGATTGAGTATCTTAATCTGCAGGCCGCTGTCAAGTACAAAGGACAAGTCGCCGGTGAAGTTATATAGTCATATTGTTAGCCAAAGCAACATACGTATCGGTAACATAAACATGAAAGCCGTGCCCCCCTGGCGATACCCACATTGGCAATCTAGGATCGAGAATCACGCTCCACCAATCTATGCTCGCGGAGCGACTGTACTCCAAATTTCCTATCCCGGCTAGTAGGTTCTTGAAGTAAGGAGTTCGAGGCATGTCCATAATTACGGGGCGTTCGGGCAGGAGACAGGCTCGTAGTACGGTGCCACCGTTTTCTCGCGGGAAGATGGAAGCATTGGTGCCATTGGCAAAGTTGAGCACAATGTCGCGGAGAGGCACCGTCATGCCACTCTCGCAATCCCTTGTGTCAGTTAAGAAGGCCGTATAGCCATCGCCGTACGTCTTTGCCTTGTCATATCCGCCTAAGACGAGGGCCCCCGGTCTTTGGTCCCGGTCATTGACACCGTCCAGACCCCAGTAGAACCCAACGGCGCTCGACATAATGTGACCTGCCTTGCGTAGAGCGTTGATGAGCGAGGAAGCAGAACCCAGGCCGATGATGTTCTGTGGATCGTAGCCTTGGAGGTTCCAGTCGGTGGGGGCTTGCTATGGAGAAATTGGGCAGGCTGACGTTGTTGCCAAGGTTCAAGGTGTCTGTAAACATGGAGTACGTCTTGGAGTCCCATAGCTCGGCGAGAGGCTTGCCAGAAGGGGCAGGGCCGCCTTTGGCCGGATCATAGATTCCTCCTCGAAACGTGATACACGCGTCGTTGGTGTCGACAAGGCCCAGTGAGTCGCATTTGGGACCATACAAGAAAGCGTTGTTATTGTCCCTGCCGACTGTCAGCCAAAGAAGCAGTGAAAACGTGGAATGATCAGCGATGACACTCACCATTTGGGTAAGAAGGCAAATTGCTGCTCGGTTGGCCAACATTGACGGCGATGCCACGTCGCGTCTTGCCAGTAGCCAAAGTGACGTTGACAATGGGCAGTGACACTGGGCCGGGCACGCAGTCTTGTGCCATGATCATGGTGACAAGATGGAGCAAGAGGAAAACGATAGGTGCAACAAGGGGCGGCGGGCTGGCGGTTGACATGCCAGCCCTGCCAGCCGTGATGCGGTTCATCCAGAACAGAGAGTGCTACTGCTGGAGGCTCTTTTTCTCGCCACGTATGTGGTCCCCGGCGTCAATCTTTATCCATCATCTTGGGCCAGAAGGCATCAAATGACGGCGAGCCGAGGGAACGTGTAAACGTGAGTAGTATTCGCACTTTATGTTGGTTACCCCCTGCGTGGTTTCCTGCGCCTGCCTGCACGGCCGACTCGGATTTAAGCTGAAAGAAGCGGCTTGCAGACAGAGCGCCGGCAAGGCGTACTGGCTCACGCCGGGCTGAGGCCAAGAGGAAGTGGGATTGTGTTGGTTTATCCGGCCATGAGAGTAGCATCGCAGCGCCCATCTTGGACTCGAGCCAATGGGAGACGCATGTGAAGATATGTCCGTGCAAAATGCACACCTAACTAACAAACCTGTATGTAGGTAAATATATATATCGTGTGTCTATGCGGAGTATATCGTGGGCGGCAAGACAGACACAGCCAAGATACGGCAACATACGGAAACTGCATGTGTACTCGGCGCTTGGCTTCATTATTGTTATACCGTTATAATTCGGCAATGTTACCCGAGCCGTATTGAGGTTCATGTCCAATCCTAGCCATCATTATTTGTCGCGATTGAGGCCGTAGGAACTCTACATGGCTCTTCATTAAAAAACGATATTGAAATCAAGCAGAACGGCTCGGGCCCCAGAACGGTTTCGGGCAAGGCCCCAGCTGCCATGCAGAGCCTCGCCTTGATTCCATCACCAACCAACAAGCCGACCGGACGACAAAAGCCCGTTGCAGGGCAAACCGTGGGCCAATCAGATCTCGAGCACAACCGCCCTCGCGGGCGCTTACTTTGAGGCTGGGCCAGTTTTCCGTGCCTTCACTCGCTGTCTTGCATATGCACATCAAGGCGGGCACACGGTGCCTACAGTACTGTATCGTCTTGTTGATGCCAGAAGCATGGGCAGGCCAAACGGGGGTAGGAGACTTGGTTTACACACCTACATACACCACAAAACATGCACATCCGTTGATTTTTGTCCCAAGTTATGGCCCCACGCACATATATACAGGCTCCGCTGGAGCTCCTCGGTCTTTGCCAACTTGGCATCGGCAAGGCCACGAGCTAGATCCGACAGCAATGTTATTTGCTTGCTCCGAAATATCCAAGGGCAAAATGGCCAGGGGGACTTCCTTTGGCTTGGTCCATATATTCAGGTTCTGGGACAGCTTGGAGGCTTTGGGGGGCTTGATCCGGGCAAAAGAGTGAGGATGCCTGCACCACTAATAGCAAAGGCTCTCCGGTGGGTATATTATAGGGTACCTCTTAAGCAGTGGCTTGAGAGCACAGTGGAAGAAATAGGGGCATAGAAAGGTGAATTTAGTGATATATATCTTGGTCTATCTATTAGGATAAGAGACGGGCTTATATAGGTATAGTAACTATATATAGCTAGCTAAAAGAGGGTATTAAGATATTCCTATACCTAAGTTAGGCCTATATAATATCCTTAGGCTAAGGGAGTTATATTAGTTAGGCAAGGTCTACTAGGTATAACTATAGCCTATTATACCCCCTTTCCTTAATATACCCCCTTACTATCCTAGCTTTCTAGATAGTAGGGTAATAGAAAGAGGGGCGTTTAGTTTAATAAATATAAGGCTATTCCGATATTAAATTTTAGCTACTTTACTATTTATTTAAGGAGGTTATTTTATAATAAGGGAGGCTCTTAATAGTATTCTATAAAAAAGAAGGTAAATATAGTAAAAGATAATCTAGTTTAGTAACTAGCGCTATATACCTTTTAAGTATATAGTATTAATTACCCCTTTTACTAAAATTCTTATAAGGAGAGATATAAGAAGTATATATAAAATATATAAAGTTAAAAGTAAAAGTAAGGGGTCGGATAGGTAAGGTAGAGATGTTTAATTCTTATAAGGGCAGTAATTATAGTAGGGGAGTAATTATTAGATTACCTTAATTTTCCTTCTTTCTTCTATCTAACGCCCCTCTTTATACTTATCTAGTATCTCGATTAATAAAGAAGATCCTACTTAAAGAAGCTATTAATATCCTTTTAACTACTAAGCTTATTATTAGTTTTTCCCCTTTATTCTAGCTATTACTAGTATATCCGTCTTATCTCTCGCTACCTTTATAGGAAGCTATCGCTACTTCTACTTCCCCTTATACCCCTACCCTCTTCTCTATACCTCTTTTTAGCTCCTTCTTTAAAACCTGTTTTTTAGCTTCCTAGGTCCCTCGTACTAAGAGATATCTCTAAGAACTACGAAATTAGGCCACGCTTCGCGATATACCCCCTTAGCTATAGCCTGCCCTTATAGAAAGGGTAAAGCTAAATACCTAGGCCGGTAAGTATATAGAGGAGGTCTTAGTTTATACTTATCCCTTACTCGAGAAATCCGGGTTTTAGCCCTAGGCTCTTTTAGACCTACTTTAGGAAAAAGGGCCTTAAGGAGGATATTAAGTCCTATAAGAAAGGGGGGCTTCTCTAAGGATAAGTCCCTAAAAAGGGGGCCTTTAAGAAGAATAAGTCCTAATTAAGCTAGGGGCCCTCCTTTAGGATAAGTCCTAATTCCTCTCTTTAGCTATAGACGTCTCCTTCCTCCTATATACTATTAGCTCCTCTTATAGACTCTTAAAGCGGGCTTCTAAGGATAGCTTTTCTCGAACGTCTTTTAGCCTAATTTACTATAAAAAGATAGCTAGCTTCTACTTTAGTAGGGGCTTTATAAGACCGTCGGCTTTTATCGATACTATTAGAACCTAACGGACGGAAATTAGTCCCCTTTAGACCTCTTAGCGTAACTAATACTAGTAGATATCGATATACCGTAGCTAGGTTAATAGCTTACTATTTTCCTCCGTAAGAATTTATATAGTCTATATATTATCGTATTCTATAGCTAACGGGGACGGAATTTATAGTTAGAACGATATTAGTAGCCGGCTAAGGAAAATCGCTTCTTTTAACGCTTCTAAAAGAGCTAGTAGCTCTGCCTCTATACTAGAAGTCGTAACGGTAGCTTGCTTCGAAGCTCTCTAAGCAATAGTTCCTCTAAAAAGGGATATAATATACCCTTATAAGCTCTTTCTATCTAAGGAATTATCCGTAAAGGACGAATCGCTCGAATAAAGGAAGATTTCGGCAGCTAATTTCCTTCCCTGCCCTCCTAAGCGTAGACTATATAACCTCGTTAAATAGAGATAAAGGATTGCTTAGTCTACTACTTCTTAGTGCCTAGGGCTAGGATTGTAGTTATACCTAGCTAGCCGGGAGACCGTAAAAGAGATATCCGGTCTAATAGAAATAGCTAAAAAAAGCAGGGAGCCTACCTTCTATTAATATTAGTGTTTCTCTTACTCCCTAGCTTAAAAGGACGGATTAAGTAAAAGCTCTTTATCTAATATAGGCGTAGTAGGAAGCTTCTTATTAAGGGAAGTAGGGAGGAATTTATAAGCGACCTTATCGATATAGGCGTCTTAGGTAAGCTAGATAGTCTATTAGGACCTATTCTAAAGGATTTATATCCCTAAGAACTACTTTAGCTCCTATAGCTTAGTTATCTTATACCTTTATTATAGGCCTCGTATAGCCTCCCTAGTAATAGCTTCTTCCTCTTTTAGGTAGGCCTAGACAATATCGTCGATATAGAAGAAGACCGTGATTTTACCCTTCTATATTATATATAGTTCCTAAGGGACTTTCGTAAAGCTTAGGGCTTTAAGGGAACCTATTAAATGCTATTGCTAAAGAAGGGGTAATCTTTATAGTCTATATAGAGCTTTCCTAAGCCGTAGAACCTTTCCTAGTTATTAGAAACTAAGAGGAAGTCGTATATAGATAACTTCTTCTTCCTCGAGAGGGTAGTTAACGAAGGCGTTAACTATATCTATTTAATCGAGCTCGAGGTCGAATTCTGCTGCTATAGCTATAAGGGTCCGAAAAGATATCCCTGCTAGGGTGGTTGCCTTAGTAGGTAGATCCCCCTTTTCCTATTAATTCCTATAGATAACTAGCCGGGCTTTATACTTTTAAAGGAAGCTATGTTTATTAGTCTTATAGATAAAGACCTACTTATAGCTAAGGACCTATTTTCCTCTTACCTTTTCCTTTAGGACCTCTTTAAAAGACCCTATCTCCTCGTATAAGGCTAGGTAGTCTTTCTAAGCCTAGAAAAACTAGTCTCTAAAAGGGTGTTTTTCTAGCTGCTTCTAGTTTACTAGTAGGTCCGGGAGGTCTCTTTTATATACCTTCCTTACTAATAGAGGCTTAAAAAGCCAGCCTACTATAAATGCTCCGTAGGAACCGTCTTCTATAGGCGTTAAATAGAAGTCGGAAAAACGATCGAAATAAGGGAGTAATTAGTCTTCTTTCGTATCGGGCCCTATACCTTCCTTTGCTTCTCGAAGTAGGGATAAAAAGGCAGCCGGGTAATCCTTTAAGAGAGGTGCCTTTCCTACCCCCTTAAGGGTCGAGATAGGAAGACTAACCGAAAAAGCTGCTTTTAGATCTTCTTCTTATTCCGTAAGAGGAGGCGTAGGGAGGTAGGCGTATTCTAGCTCTACTACTTTCCTATAGTCTCCTTCTTTATCTAGATTATCTAATCTAGCAGCTTCCTCTTTTTCCTCTTCTTCGAAGTTAGCGTTATCCTTAACTACTTCGACGTCGGTTTCTTCTTTTATTTCCTCGTCTAGGACCTCTTCTTAAAACTATTAGGAAGGGGGGATTTAAATCTTCTAAATTAGCTAACGTTAAGAGAGTAAGAGGGGCTATTAATCCCTCTTCCCGTTAAAGAAGCTAGATTCGTTGAAAATTATATCCCTAGTTAAAATAACCTTCTATAGAAGAGGAATCTAGATCTAGAAGATATTTATAGAATTATAACTAATAA